CACTTGGGACACAACCAGGTGGCTACAAATACCAAGCTCAAGACCGGCTTGGGCCAAACCATCAGCCACTGATGTGGGCAAAGGTCTTTACCCACACAACCTCTGGAGAGCCAGGGCCCGGCCTCAACCTCCCTGCAGACATGGGGCTCCCGATCACAGGCCGAGTGATGTGTCGGGAAGAAGCCTATGAGTGGACCTGAATAACACCTGCGGGTGAAGGGTCTTCCAGGGTTCCCTCTCCTTCAGTTCCCTGCCACAGCACTGTCCACACTGCGGGGAAATGCTACACTGCTTGTCTGTCCCTAAGGTGCTCTGTAATTCGGCGAATGAGTGGGGAGAGCTACAGAGGGATGCAAGCACAGGGTGCAGACGGCTGTCCCGGGCAGGCGCTCCTGGCTACCTCGACCCGCCATCCTCCCGCGCGCCCCGGGAAGGCCTGCGGTGCCAGCCCCCGACCCCCACCCCGGGCGTTACCTCCTGTTCCCGCACCCAGGGACCGGCCTTCAAGGCCGGGACCTGCTCCGCCCCGCCCAGGTCCCGCCGGCTGGCGTTCCGGGAGGGGCGCGGAGGCGGTCGGGTGCTCCCACGTGGGGGCGCTGCAGGGGCGCGGAGAGGCTGAAGCCAGGACCGGCGGCCGTCGCTCCCCGCCAGTCCCCCACGAGGCTGCCGCGACCCCTCGTTGTGTCGCGGTCCTCGGTCCAGGTGGAAGCGTGCGGCCGGGAGGCAGACCCAGGTCCCAGGGCCCGCCTGTAAGCTGCGGCCGACGGTCCCGCCTGCTGCGGACAGAGGCGGCGCTCGGAACAACCGGCTTCCCGGCCGCCCGCACCTCGTGTTTGCCTCTTCTCCCTCGGCTTTCCTTTTCTTTTTTTAATCCCTCCCTCCCGCGCCCTTTCTCTTCTGGGCTCTGCAACCTTAGCCAACCCGCAGCTTTTAGCAATCCTCTGGCCCACCCGGCGCCCAGGCAGCCTCGCCGCGGTCGCCGCCTGCCTCCCGCGCCGCCCCCGGCTCCGGTCCGACTCAGCCCGGAGCAGCCCCCCGAGGTTCGCACGCGGACCCGCCCCGTCCCTCGGCCCGGCTCACGGCGGGAGGATTGGGGTCCTGGGGTGCGGGGCGCGCAATCCGCCTGTACCGACCCTGCCCACTGAGAATCGCACCCCGAACCCAAACCAGCCCACACCGGGGATCGCGCCCCTGCCCCCGTGGGCTTCGTCCCTCCTCTGGCTGCGCTGGCCGCCGGGGCCTCAGGGACTGAGCCAAGCAGGCCGCCGCGGCCCGGGCCGTGCCCGGGTGGCCGAGGGCACCGGGCGGGGCGACGGGCTCGGCCGCCAGCACTGCCAGCGCCAGCCTGACCGCAGCCGGAGGGCGACGCTGCAAATAGCCGCGGTTTGCAGCCCGTGCCCTGCCTCCCTCCCGGCCTTCCGGAACTTGGGGGTTTTCTCTCCCTTCTTCCTGCCGCCCTCTCCTCTCTGCCCCGTGCCCCCCGCCGCGCGCCCACCACATCCTGCACGGGCGGGGGTTGGAGGGCGGCGGACGGACACGAGCCAGGCCCGGAGCCCAGCGCCGAGGTCCACGACCACAATCAAGCAAGGACTCAACCAGGCTCGGTGCTAAGGGGCTCAGGTCCTCCACTAGCACTTTCCAAATGGAAAGCTATCCCCCCCCCGGGGGGGGGCAGGGCTGGGTGGGGGTCTGGGAAGTCTTAGTATGAACTAAGCCAGTGTGCCTTAGTTTCCCTGTCTGTAAAACAAAGGGGATGAAACTCGGCTCCCAGCAAGGAAGCACTTGTTAACAGTGAAAAACTCCCAATAGAATGTGAGACCTTGGGCTTCCGGGGGGGAGAGGGGGGCAGGGTGACTGCCCACAGCCCCAGCACATGCTGGGTGGGACCTGCGCTAAGCCAGGGACGTCAGCATTTTAGCAAAGGCAGGGTTTCCGAAGCCATCTGGTTTGCAACTCATCAAAGAGCTTCCTGGAAGGGGGTGAGTGGTGTACGGCGCTCCTACCCTAACCCTCAGCACTTGTCTGTATTCATCTCGGCTTCGTGGCTGTCACAGCCTCCCTCTCAAAGAGCTCACAGCATAATCAGCTACCACTGGGCTGAGGGGCAGAGCTGCGCCCCGCCCAGCTGGCCTGGCTGAGAAAAGCCAAGGCGCGCACCTCCTTCCTGGCTCAGTGAGCAGAGGGGAGCCCAGGGTTCCCCTCTACTCACCCTCAGATGCAGGGTATCAGCTGCACAACCCCTGCAAAGCCACAAGAGATAGAAGGGGAGGTTTCTGGAAAGGGGACCAATTTTAATTCTTGCTGGAGGCAGGGAGAGAGGAAAACTCAGCCAAAGAGGTAAGCATCAAGCTGGCCCCTTAAGGACGAGTAGGAGTTCTCTAGGAGGAAGGGGAGGTCCCAGCAGAGGCAAGCTTTGGGGTGGGAAGTGGCAGCTTGTCCTGGGAGCAGAGTGGGTGCCTGGGACAGAGAATGAAGGGCACACCCTCCCCTGGCCACCACCTCCAGGGTGCCAGCTACAGATCTGCATAAAGCTTATCTGCCAATCCGAGGTCTCCTCACCTCCTGCTGTGATCTGCCCCAGGACAGGGACAGTGTCTCACCTGGTGTCCATAGCACTAACAATTATAGCCAAGGGCCATTAGATATACACCATCACACACTGCCGTGGGCTCCACTGCATTCTCGCTTCATCCTCAAGCTTTGGAAACAGACTGCTATTAATTTTTTTTAGATATTTATTTTATTTATTTGAAAGGTAGAGTTACAGAGAGAACCATCCACTAGTTTACTCCCCCAATAGCTGCAATGGCCAGAGCTGGGCCAAGTCAAAGCCAGGAGCTTCTTCTGGGCCTCCCACGTGGATGCAGGGGCCCAAGCACATGGGCCATCCTCTGCTGCATTCCCAGGCGCATTAGCAGGGAGCCAGATCAGAAGTGGAACAGCCGAGACTCGAACCAGCACCCATATGGGATGCTGGTGCTGCAGTCCAGGGCTTTACCCTGCTGTGCCACAGCACTAGCCGCAACAGGTGCTATTATTAATCCTGGTTTACAGATGAGAAGGGTTAAGCAAAGTGCCAAAGGTGGGGTGGTGGGCTGCAGGTGGAAGTCTCTGACCACGAAGCCCTTGTTTTAGACTGATGGATAGATGGAAAGATGGATGAACTCGATGGAGAGGAGAGAAAGAGGAAATGAACAAGACCATGAACGTCATGCTAGGAATTTGGAAATAAACTCAAGGCAATAGAGAGACATTGGGAAGTCGTAAGCAGGAGAGACAGCTCAGGTGAGGGATTTCGAAGATCGTTTTGACAACGCGGGCACTGTGGCTCAATGTGTTGTCACTGCTTGGGACACACACGTCCCTATCTGAATATCTGGAATGCAGTCCCACCTCCACTTCCAATCCTGCGAATGCGCCCGCCTGAGAGGAAGCAGATAATGGCCTGAATACTTGCGTCTCTGCCACCTGGGGGGGGGGGGGGGGGGGTGACCCAAATGGAGATCCTGGCTCCTGGCTCCTGGCTTAAGCTTGGCCCAGCCCCAGCTGTTACAGCCATTTGGGGAGTGAACCAGCGGATGGAAGATACCTCTCTCTCTTTCTCTCTCTCTCTGCCTTTCAAATAATAAAGAACATAAAAAAGGTAAAGAAAAGAAACATCATTTGGAGCCAATGACATTGGAGGTAAGAGGTCATTTTTTTCTGGCAAATCTCAGTTACCACCTGTGAGAAGCCACATTTATTTTTTTAAAAATTTATTAATTTTATTTGAAAGGCAGAAAGACAGAGAGAGAAGGAGATCTTCCATCTGCTGGTTCACTGCCCAGATGCCTGCAACAGCCAGGGCTGAGCCCCAAAGCCAGGAGCCCAGCCTACAGCCTCATCTGTGTCTCCCTGGTGGGCGGCAGGAGCTCAACCACTGGAGCCATCACCTGCTGCCTCCCAGGCCGTGTGTTAGCAGGAAGCTGGGTCAGAAGCGGAGCCAGGAGTCCAACCCAAGGACGACAAGTGGCATCTCAACTGCTGGGCCATTTCTTTAAGTACGGTGTCCTTTCTCCTAGGGCAAGGCTTTTTTTTTTTTTTTTTGACAGGCAGAGTTAGACAGTAAGAGAGAGAGACAGAGAGAAAGGTCTTCCTTCCGTTGGTTCACCCCCCCAAATGGCCACTACGGCCAGTGTGCTGCACTGATCCGAAGCCAGGAGCCAGGTGCTTCCTCCTGGTCTCCCATGTGGGTGCAGGGCTCAAGCACTTGGGCCATCCTCCACTGCACTCCCTGGCCACAGCAGAGAGCTGGACTGGAAGAGGAGCAACCGGGTCAGAATCCAGCGCCCCAACTGGAACTAGAACCTGGGGTGCTGGTGCCGCAGGCGGAGGATTAGCCAAATGAGCCGCGGCGCCGGCCTAAGACACATATTTTTAAGCACACATAGGAAGTTACTGATGGAGAATGCTGAAGAAGAGGAGGCTCAGAAACAGCAAGTGGAGACAAGTGGTGGATTCTAGCTAAGCTGTGTATGGGAGAGCAGAGCACCTGGAAGGGAGCTGCCACACAGGCCATGATGAGGAGGCTCCCTTGGGGTTTGCAGCCAGGGTGCTGGACGCTTCCGGCCCCACACACTGCCCCATTGTGCACCTGCCACTGGAATGCAGCCAAAGGTGAGGCAGGTGTTGCAACAGAGTGTTAAGCCTGGGATCAAATGTTAGGGGGCGGCAGGGGGAGGGTCTGACCCCTTCTTCTGAGCAGCTTCGCTACCATTGGCCTTTCCAGCGGGGGGGGGGGGGGGGCCACAAGCAACATGGTGGGGTGGGGTGGGGTGGGGAGGCCAGGAGTGTTAGATAAGCTGAAGGAAGCGAGCAGGATAGCTGGGAGGACCAGAGAGCAGGGGGAGCGTGCCCCTCCTACACTCGAGCAACCCAAGGGCAGCCCAGAGCCTGCTGAAGGTGGCGTCTTAAGGCCAAGGGGGGCTCCCAGAGCGTCCCAGGGCAGAGCAGTGCTCACCATGCCATCCAGCGTTACCTTGCTCCTCCTGATGGGGCTGTCTGTGTGCACCTCGGCTGAGGATGGTGGAGAGGAACAGACACTGGGCGCTGAAGCAGGACCCTGGGTAACCGTGACCCTGGAGGTATGCTGGGGAGAGGCTCAGACCAAGGAAGGGGGTGATCCATGCTGGAGGGGTCGCAGAGGTTGCCAGGGGAGCAGATTGTGTGTGTGTGCTGCACACTGGGTTTAGGTTCAAGCCACACGGGAGCAGCAGTGTGTGTGTGTGTTGGGGGGGCAGTGGGGTGGGGATGGCGGCATTTAAAAAACACTTTAGCACATGCTATGTACCTGGCACTGCCGCGTAACACTGTGTATAAATGCTAGCTTATCATGTTTATAAATGCTAGTCCTCATGTCGACCTCAAGGGTGGGAACCGTGACATTTCCATCGCACAGAGTGGTCAGACTGCTTGCCCAAAGCTGCAGAGCTTCCAAAACAACCACACGCTTTGCCCGAGGACTTGTTCTGTGCGTCTGTGCCTCAGAGTTTCCGGAATTTGCTCTCAGGGCATCAACTTGAGGCAGGACTGCAGGTTTGTCTCACATGGGGAAATTCTTTAGATTTCCTGACAAGGACTGGCTCGTGGTCTCTCCTACTGACCTGAGTACTGCCAGTGGGGAGAGACCTAAGGTTGGAGACCCAGCATCCACACCAGCCCCTAACCCTGCCCGGAGCTCTGATGGCTCAGAACCGGGTGACGAAGAGCCCAACTTAAGGGAGTTCCCAACCAGACAGCGACAGAGACGGGACACAGACACAGGGAAGTAAGAGACTGGTGCCCAGCGAAGGTGTCCACGGGGCCAGGGCTCGGCCTGGCTTCTCCCGTTCCCATGGTTGGGGAGCACACTGGGGCTGGCCTTGGCTTGTGGTCCGAGGGCCACGGTGAGGCCCCCTGGAAGCTCTTAGAAACGGGGCCAAGGCAAGAACCAAGCATGGACGGCCATGCACGGCAAACTTCCTTTTTGGTTTGTCCTTGAGAGTGTGCACAGGTAGAAGGCAGCCTGGCTGGGAGACCTGGGTTCAGACCTCGACTTCTGCACTGCCTCCTGCAGTTTCCTGGCCCGCAAATTTGGGGAGAGGGGAGATGATCCCCCAGGCTTTTCTCAAGCTTTGATACGCTTCGCAGGGTCAGTGCCTGTCCCGGCCCAGAGACAGAGCAGGCAGCTCAGGGCAAGGTCGTGGAAAGCGTCATTAGCAACGGGAACTAGCACTGCTGCCCCTCCCCCCCACACACACCCCGCCCTGGCAAGCTCCTCACTCTGCAGTCGTGGCTAAGCCTTACTCTCAGTTCACTTCCTTTAAGGTCCTGGTGCTTCCCAAGATGGAGGGCAGGGGATACGGGAGGAGAGACTCACCACCTGCAGCTATTGGGTTGCTAAGCACTCATACAAACCAAGTGCCGAGGTGACGGTTGGGATGGGAGCACCTTCCGGGACGATCTGGCGGCCTCCCTGGCTCTCGGGCCTCCCTCCCTGCCTGCCGCCAGCCCTGGAGCTGGGGATTTGGGTTTCGGGGTACAGAGGGGTGGGTGTGGCTCCTGATGGCCTCCTAGCCCATGGGCAGGAAAGGGTCAGGCCCACAAATTCCTAAGCGGCCCTCCTCTCCAGCTCACATTTGAAGCTGCCTTTTACCCAGGCAGAGTGGTTTTCATGGGCTTTTCAGAAATGGGTCCAAATCTCCAAAGAGACTTTTCTGGTTTCTGGCCCGGCCAGGTGACTCCAGCCGGAGACAGCCTCCCCAGCCCCTGACATCTCAGTAAGGAGACAGACTGGGAAGGGCTGAATTGGTAAAAGGCTTAGGAGACAATCCCCTCCTGACCCTGAAATCTGGAGCAAGGCACGCTGGGAATGGCAGAGGGGCTCCCACGGCTGCTGCCCCTGCCCCAGCTCCTGCTGGTCCCGAGAGCTCCAGGGGACCCTGAGGGCACTGGGAAGGAAGAGCACCTTTCCCAACCCCAGCTCCCTGCCTTCTGGCCGGCTGCCTGTGTCGCTCTGGAGAGCAGGAAGGCTGGGCACAGAGAAGGGACTCCTGTGGGACTCAGGTTAAGGCAGGGGAGAGGGCCCGGGCTCGGGTCACGGAAGCAGTGGAGGAATGAGGACTTCCATCCACAGCCCCTGTTCAGGGCACCTTGCCCCATCTGCCCAAGGGTTAAAATGGCTGTGCCCAGGGTAATAGCTTCCACTCCCAATCCACAAGCCAGGCTCAGACTCTAGGGCCGGGGGAAGGGCCTGGGGGGTGACAGGAGAGCAGGTACAGAGGTCAGGAGGAGAAACAATCCCGCCCTGAGTGCATGGGCTGCCCCCTCCTCATCTGTGCTGGGAACATCGCCCAACGTGGAGCCGAGCCACGCTCTGGAGCGACTCCGAGTCTGATTCAGCCACTTCCTGTGTGATCTTGGACAAGTCAGTGCACCTCGTTACATCTCAGGTTTTGCATTTGGGGGAGATCATAGTTCCTACTTTTTTTTTAGGATTTATTTATTTGAAAGGCAGAGTTACAGTGGGGGTGAGGCAGAGGCAGAGAGAAACAGAGCGATCTTACACCTGCTGGTTCACTCCCTAAAATGGCTGCAACGGCCAGGGCTGGGCAAGACTGAAGCCAGGAGCCAGGGCTTCATCCGGATCCCCCTTGTAGGTGTAGGGGTCCAAGCACTTGGGCCATCTTCCGCTGCTTTCCCAGATGAATTAGCAGAGAGCTGGATCAGAAATGGGGCAGCCAGGACTCAACCAGAGCCTCTGTGGAATGCCGGCACTGCAGGCAGTGGCTTAACCTGCCGCCCACAGTGCCGGCCCCAGTTCCTACTCTCATGGTGGCTGTTGGGATTAAGTGAAGGGCTGGCGTTGCAGCACAGTGGTTAAGCTGCTGCTTGGCAGTCCCTGTCAGTGTGCCTGTTTCAAGTCTTGGCTGCTCTGTTTTCCATCCAGCTTCCTGCTGACCCTGGGAGGCAGCAGGCGATGGCTCAAGTGGTTGAGTCCCTGTCACCCATGTGGGAGACCCAGATGGAGGTCCAGGCTCCTGGCTTAGCCTGGCCCAGCCCTCGCAATTATAAGCACTTGGTGAATGAATCTGAGGAGGGAAGATCTCTCTGTCTCTCTCTGTTGCTCTGCCTTTTAAATAAATAATCTTTAAAAGAAAAACCCTATGCTCTTAACCAGAATGGTTAGTAAATAATCAGGAAGTTGTAAAGGAAAAAAAAAAGATTCAATGATTGGACTGCAGGAGCAGTCAGGAGGCCTGGGTTCAAGTCCTGGGTCTGTCTCTCTGCCCAGCTGGGTGACCTCTGAAAACTCATTTAGTGGCTCTGCACCCTGGTGTCTTCACGTGTAAGATGGTGACAGTTTTCACGGAGTCTGGGCGAGGAGTAAATGAGTACTTTCGGTATGAAAGTGCCAGGAACGTAGGAGGTGGGATGTTGGCCACGGCTCACTACCATAATGCACTGTGTTGTGTAAGGCACGCGCAGGTGCCCAGTGCGACGCAGAGCACGGGTTCAGTGACCACGAGCGGCTCTTGTTGACACTGTGGTTGCTCAAGCTCCTCTCTGCTTCCCCAGGCGGGCGCTGTCGCCAGCATTCAGCTCCAGCTGCAGGAGGTGAAGAGGGGCAAAGCCAGCCAGTTCTTCGGGCTGATGGGGAAGCGGGTGAGAGGTGAGTGACACAGTGGGGCCGGAGCCCAGGGAGCAGTGGTCTTGCAGCACCATGCACGGGCTCCAGACCAGGCCAGCAGGGGTCGCTCGTGACACGGGGTGCGGTGCTATGCATAAATGAATGACCAGCCAAGCAGGACACTTTGGGAAGTGCTGACGGGTAACAGGTATAAACCAAGGTTGTCCCCCAATTATAGTCACCCCGAGGGTGGGGGCAAACGCTTCACGCTCGGCTGGTGCCCGTGGCGGGAGAGCAGGAGCCCTGGCACCTGGATGGGAGGCAAGCTTTCTAGTCAATTCTGTCGGGCTCACGCAGTTACCTGTTTCCTGAGGGTGCTGGCAAGGTGGAGTCCTGTCCTGCGGGGACAAGGGGACAAGAACGTCAGAGAGCTGTCTTCTCTTATTGCCAACACTGTGTGCTGCTAGTGGAAGAGCTCGATGTTGGTGAGGGGCTGACAAAACTGGACTCTTCTACACTGCAGTATCCACCAAGGCTGGAAAGGGGCAGCCTTCTGACCAAGTCTCGCTTCAGGGAATCCATCAATAGAGAAGCTATTGCTACATGAACCCAGAGATGTTCGTACCAAAGTACTCATAACCGACATGGTTGTAATGGCAAGAACCTGGGTATAACACAAAGAAAATCAACAGAATGGTCAAAGTGTATGGGAGAGAGCAGGGATGGCCAGCACTGTGGCACAGTGGATTGAGCCGTGGCTTGCAACACTGGCACCCATACTGGAGTGCTGGTCTGAATCCCAGCTACTCCACTTCCATTCCAGATTCCCGCCAACGTGCCTGGGAAAGCTGCAGGTGATGACCCAAGTACTTTAGCCCTGCTACCTACGGGGAAGACCAGGATGAAACTCCTGGCTCCTGGCTTTGGCCTGGCTCAGACTAGGTCATTGCAGCCTTTAGGGAAAAGAACCAACCAGTGAACAGATCTCCCTGCCCCCTTCCTCTCTACCTTGTCACTCTTTCAAATAAATAAACTTTTTTTTTTTTTTTTTTTTGACAGGCAGAGTGGACAGTGAGAGAGAGAGACAGAGAGAAAGGTCTTCCTTTTGCCGTTGGTTCACCCTCCAGTGGCCGCCGCGGCTGGCACTCCACGGCCGGCGCACCGCGCTGATCTGATGACAGGAGCCAGGTGCTTCTCCTGGTCTCCCATGGGGTGCAGGGCCCAAGCACTTGGGCCATCCTTCACTGCACTCCCTGGCCACAGCAGAGAGCTGGCCTGGAAGAGGGGCAACCGGGACAGAATCCGGCGCCCCAGTGTGCCAGCGCCGCAAGGCGGAGGATTAGCCTAGTGAGCTGCGGCGCCGGCCACAAATAAATAAACCTTTCAAAAAATGTATGATGGGGGTGGGTGCTGTAGCACAGCAGGGAAAGCTACCACTTGGAATGCCCACATCTTGCGTTGGGGTGTTGGTTCAAGACCTGGCTACTCTGCTTCCAATCCAGCTTCCTGCTAATGCCCCTGGGAAAGCAGTGGATAATGGCCCATGTACTTGGGTTCCTGCCACCCTTGTGGGAGAGCCGGATGGAGTCCAGGCCCCCAGCTTTGGCCTGGCTCAGTCCCAGCCCAGTCCCAGCTGTGGAGGGCAGCTGATTTTTTTTTTTTAATTGTATAAAGTACATCCACAACCTTGTGGACATTAAAAAGGACAAAGTGTGTGGAAAGATATGGAAAGACTTCCATAAAACATGGTTAAGCAGAACAGTACACCTGATAGGAGCCTACTTGTTTTAAAAAAAAAACTACAGTTAAACACTCTCACACACAAACACACACACACACATGCAAATATATGGGGAAAGTTCTAGAAGGCTAAATATCAAACTGTGAATAGTGGTTTCATCTGGGGCAGGAAGTAAGATGAGAAGGAGAAAGTAGAGGGATTTTAATTTTTCCTGTACAAACCTTTTTTTTTTAATATAGTGGGCATGCATTCAAAGACTGCTTTTGTAATTTTAAAAATATGTTCTAAAAATAGAGAAAACCAACTTGTGACCAAACACTTTTGGCTTTAGTTTCCTCCACTACAAAATAAGATCTGGACTGGGCCATTACAAGGTTCTCTTGCAAATTCAACAACCCAGGAGGAGCAGGGGATGGGAGGATAAGACAAATATTCTAAACTTTATTTATTCATGAGGCAGAGACAGAGTAAGTGACACAGACAGGTAGAGCGCTCCCGACCATGGGTTCACTTCCCGAATGCCCATGATGGCCAGGGCTGGGCTGGGTTGAGACTGGGAGCTGGGAAGTCCATTCAGGCCTCCCAAGTGGATGGCAGGGACCCAACCACTTGAGCCATCACCTGTTGCCTCCCAGGGTGTGTGTTAGCAGGAAGCTGGAATTGGGAGCAGAGCTGGGATGAGCCCAGGCACTCAGGTGTGAGATGAGGGTGTCTTAACCTACTACAGCAAACATCTGCCCCAAGAAATCCTCCTTGAGCACGTGTTACACTCACACAGGATTAAATCGCCACACATCCTCCGTATCACCAGCAGGGAAACTAAGGATCAGACAGGTTAAGTACTTTTCCCAAGGATACCCAGCTGACTCCAAAGTCAGTGCACTGCCCACCACTGCACACTGCCTCTCCTGGGCACGTCCCTACTGCCACATGAGGATAACCACCGAGTGACTGGAGTCCCTCTGAAGCGTAACCAAGGTGCTGAACTCCAGAGTCCTGAGCCTTTCCCACCCCCCCCCCAAAGACCCCACAGAAGTGGACAGTCCTCCTCGCTTCTCTCTCCTCCCCCAGGAGTACATCTGATGCAGCCTGGGAGGACTGGGCAGAGCCGCCAGACCGCCTCCTTAGCGTGCCCGCAGGGAAAGGTCTCTGCCGCTGGCCACTGACTAGCCAGGGAGGTGGGGCCGGTGTGGCTGGGCCAGGCTTTGTGATGGTCCACGCATGCCCAGGGAGTGTTGCTGGGACAGGAGGAGGCAGGGAGGAGTCTCGTTCTGCCAAAGTTTCAAAATTACCTCGGCTCTAAAGCCCTGATCTGGAAAAATGAATCGGCCACTCAAAACATCAACCCCCTGTACCCAGAAGGCTCTTAAAAGCACAGATCTGAAAAGCCCTGCCCTGCTTAGAACGCTTCAATGAAAAGGGAGAAGCAAACCAGCCTGTAGCCACCACGTGCTGTGTTCTCTTAGGGTCAAGTCCAATGCTCCAGCATGATGTACCACATCCTGAGGGGGCTGCCCTCACTGACAGAGGTCCGGTCCCATCTTGGTCAGCTCTCCTGCCCTGCTTGTCTGCCCAGTGGGGCTTGTCCCCATGGCCTGGGCACTGTGTTCTCCTTGGCACATGGTGCTCGAGTCCCCAGCCCCGAAACCTCTCCATGGGCAGGCCCCTGGTCTGCTACCGTTGCCTTCCCATGCCCAGTCTGTTTCTGGCCACTAGGGGCCAGTGCCATGGCGCAGGTTAAGCTTCTGCCTATAGTGCCAGCATCCCATATGGGTGCTGGTTTGAGTCCCGGCTGCTCCACTTCCAATCTAGCTCCCTGCTAATGTGCCTGGGAAAAGACAACCCAAGTCCTTGGATCCCTGCACCCATGTGGATAAAGCTCCTGGCTCCTGGCTTCAGCCTGGCCCAGCCCTGGCTGTTGCAGCCATTTGGGGAGTGAACCAGTGGATGGAAGATTTCTCTCTCCCTCTCCCCTTCTCTTTGTAACTCTGCCTTTCAAGTAAATTAATTCATTGAAAAGGAAGTACCCACTAGGTGTTTGAGGAAGAGCGGGAGAATGGCGAAGAGGAAGGCACTGATGAATGAAATCAGTGAATGAAGGGACATCCAGGAGAGTTTCTCAGCTCCCGGGAGGACTGAGACATGGCTCATTTGCAAAACCTCAGCTCTGCCCTTGCCCTGCTGTTCCCAACACAGCCTTCCCCTGATGCATCTTCTCTCTCCCTTCCCAGGGTATCAGATGGGACAAAGGGGCCTCCTGGGCAGAAGAGCATCATCCACAAAAGGTAGGTGGGGTGGAAGCTTCTAGTGGGTAGAAAAGCATTATGGGAAAGTGGCCAGACATGTTGTTGCCAGGCAGCCTCCCCAGAAGCCATCAGGCAGGGGCAGTCAAGGTGCAGGGGGGTGGTCACTTTGGTGACCCCCCAACAGGCCAAGGCACACTCTGCCCCCCACGCCCCTACTGCCAGCTGAACCTAGAGCATGGCTGGAACACCCCCTTATTCTCTCAATGTGAGGGTGCTGTCGTCGACTGTTAGTGAGCCCAGCCTTTAGTCTTAGGAGACTTCCTGTCTTCAACAACTGTAAGTAAGTGCAAACCACCCTGGGAGGGCTAACCCCTCAGTGGGTATCAGCTAACACCCAGGGCCAGGCATGAGGGTAGAGGGTGAATCAGGCTGGGGGAAAGATCCCGGCTCAGGGAGGAGGCAGTGGGTGCCCAAGCTGGGCAGATGTCAAGCTGAGCTCCAGTGTACCTTCCCTAGTGTCTAAGCTCGCCTCCAGAGCTGCGGATTCTGGGCCCCTCCCCAGCTCCCCTGATGGAAGGAACACCTGCTCACTCCAACACGGGCTCCTGGGAATAAAGATGGAAGCATCGGGCTCCTGGGAATAAAGATGGAAGCATCCTCGATTTCCCCTTGAGGGCTTTTTTTTTTTTTTTTTTTTTAAGATTGATTTATTTGAAAGGCAGAGTGACCGACACACAGCGAGTGCGCTTCTATGCCCAGGTGCACTCCCCAAACAGCCTTAACAGTAGGGGCTGGGCCAGACTGAAGCCAGGAAACTGTAACTCTATCCCTGGTCTCCCACGTGGGAAAACAGGGACTCAAGTATTGAGCCACCATCTGCTGCTTCCCAGAGCATTAGCAGAGAGCTAGACCAGATGTGGAGTAGCTGGAACACCGGCCGGCCCTCCAGGGTGGGGTATGTGGGAGACTCCAGTAGTGATTCAGCTTGCTGTGCCACGGTGCCCATCCCTTCTCCTGAAGTTTTTTTTTTTTTTTCAAAGTGTTTGAACCACTCTATTCAAAGGTCCATGAAGTCACCCCAGTACCAAATAGAAAGAAAAGCCCTTCCATGCATGGTGTGGGCAGGGAGTTAAAGTCATCATTTCGGGCTGGCACTGTGGTTCAGCCACTTGTGGCACCGTGTCCCCCATTCAGATCCCAGCTGCTCCACTTCCCTCCGATCCAGCTGCCCGCTAATGCAGCAGAAGATGGCCAAGTACTTGGGCCCCTGCCCACCAACATGGGAGGCCCAGATGGCGTTCTGAGCTCCTGGCTTCAGCCTGGCCCAGCCCCAGCCATTGCGGCCATCTGGGGAGTAAACCTGGTAATGGAAGCTCTATTTCAAAAAAAAAATTTTTTTAAGTCATTTTTCAGAGATGGAAAACAACTTGCCCCAAGTGCCACAGGAGTTAACAACATCCAGGACTAAACGCTGCCTCCTGTTTCCTGGTCCCAGGCTGCTCCCTGTCCCCAGGAGGGCCCTGAAATACCGCCTCCCCTCCTTTAGAGGAGAGCCCGTGTCGCAGAGGACCACAAATGAAAACCCCAGCGGTGGCAGAAGAGCCTGCAATCTTGGCATCTTAGACAGTGAGGGGACAGGGGCCCTGAGGGTGGCCAGGGAAAGCTCTTAAGAGTGGAGGCAGACAAGACGCCCCTAACGCCGTCACGTCCTGAACTCTCCCCAGGCAGCGTGGACGAGGACCAAGGGGCCGAGTGACAGCCACCTGCACGTGCTTCCAGAGGACGCTCCCTGAATGCCACCCCTGAGCAGCCAGGGGCCAGCTCCTGTCCTTGTTCTCCTGTTCCTAACACGGGCGCTCACAGGAGGCCCACACTGACGTCATGGGGTTTCTTCCAGGACGCTGGGTGACCTTGGCTATGCCCCGGGCCTGTTCGCTTCATTCTCGGGCATCAGTGTGCTGCCGTCACCCTGCAGGGCAGCAGGGGCCCTGCCCGCCCTTGCACTCAGAGCTCTCAGCTCATGGCACGGCGGGAGCAAGCCTTGCATGCTGTCCCCACTGTGCCCAGCACACACTGGGGGCTCAATAAATGAATGACCAGTGAGTGGCTTCTCCTCTGGCACAGGGCAGAGGGCAGATGGACGGGCTCTGCACACTCTCCAGGTCTCACTAGCATGCAGCAGGAAAGACTGCACAGCCCTGGGCCCACCCTCAGGCAGACTTGGGGCGGGTGAAGAGGAGATGGCTAGAAACAGAAAAGGCATCCTGAGAAGGGATGGGGGCGGGGGTGGGGTGGGGTCACTGGAGTGAAAGGGATTTGAGGGGGGCCTCTTTCTCTTTAGGATCTTACACAGCCCAGCCCAGACAAAGGCACTCTCCCTCCCCCAGTCAGCATCTCAGGGGTTCAAATCCACGCGTCCCCTGATCGTTAGTGGATCCTCCAGTACAAGGCGGCTCTTTGACCAACTGCGTTGCCTTTAGGATGGTCCCTCTCTTCTCGAGCTCCAGGGAGCGCTCCCGAGGAGTGAAAACGGCCCCAACTTCAGGGGCTCCTCGTCCGATGGGGCAACCGCTGTCCCTGTCCTAGTTTACAGGAGGCTGGGGACGCACACCAGCCAGCACGCACACCAGCAGGCTCAAACCCTGGGCTGTATGTGGAGCTGCTCTGTGTCCCTCTCTCAGGGCCGGGGATGGGGAAAGGGAGCCAGGCTGCTTGGGGGTGGGAGGTGCAGTGGGAGAGAGGGCAGGACCCTTCTCTGGGCACAGGGGAGGCTTTAGTGACAGCAGAGGCTGCAAGGGAGAGACTGCGTGGTACGGCACAACCAGCAAGACCCTTTCTTCTTGACCTTGGCTGTGTATTGTGAAAAATCAACCCCGGGCTTGTTTGCTTCATTCTCATCCCTTCTCAGGGTGCCCAGTGACAACTGTGGGGGTGGGGACCAGGCAAGCTTCCTCCTTGGAGTCTGATACTGCTTCCGTTTCCCAGTTAATGCACCTCTGATGCCATCCTCTCCTCCGGACAGGCTGGGCATCCCCAGTGCCTACCCCACCCCAACCCGGTGTATGCTTCCAAGAGGTAGTTCACAGCACTAACACAACTCGGAGAACCAGCGAAGAGGGCCGCAGACTGACTCTGTGTTTGGAGTTCAGGACATTTAGGAGCAAGGAAATTGCCATTTAAGGGAGTCTCCCCTACATGCCGGCACTTCACTAGGAACTCCAACGGGGTGGGATGGAGAAAGCAGCACGCAATTAGCGCTGGCCCCCAGAGACCGCAAAGCCCTGCAGCAGTGCCAGGGTGTACTCGTCCTGTGCAAAGCCCACAGCCTGCTCTCCAGCTAGATCTACTTCAAACCCACCCTGGCCACTCGAGCTTCCGGTTTCTGCACACCCATTCCTCGTCTCCCCATTCTGGAGCATTCTTGTCCAGATGTCAATTCTTCCCTAAGTGACTTCCATCCCGGGAACCACCCATCTGTCCCCTTAGTACATGTTAGAATGTGGAGGTCAAAATTAATGATTTGTCGCAATAATGCAATCTCAAGGGCAGAGATTACATCTTTGTATTCTCAGTTCCAACAGTGGGGCCTGGCACAAGAGGTCCTCGCAGAGTGCTCTGCAGGAAGGAAACCCGTATCTTGCCCTCAAGGAGTCTGCCTCCAGCAAGTCATGAGATGCCAAACCCAATGCAAGTACCCCAAATAGCAGCAGCTACCACGTACTGAACACACAGTTCTCCAACATAACCTGCCCCCAAGGCCTCACCCCCACATCTCTCCAAATGGTACCTCCACACACCCAGCTGCTCAAGCCAAAGCGCCTAGGAGTTACTCTCGGCTCCTAAAATACGTCACTCACTGTTGTGCCTTCCAAAATTACCCTGGAACTCTTGCCATCTTCTTTATCACTGTTAACTCCAGCCACCTTCATCACCCCAGCCCGGAGGGCAGCAGCCTCCCAACAGACCTCCTTGTTTCCCATCTAACTGCCAGCAACCCACCCCCGTAATTTCCTCACCCAGAGCTTTCAACTTGAATCCCATCCACCCCCTCTTGGCCACCAATCAAGGCTGTCCTAGGGTAACCATGCCATTTGCTGAGGACTCCCAGGCCCTGTGCTCTCTGGTCTCTCCCTTCTCAACTGCCACCAGGCTCTCAGTCTCACCCCCCTGCTTGCCTGCCCGAGTCTGGACACTGAGCAAGTCTCCCCCTTCTCTTCCGGCTGCCTCATCTTCCAGGTCCAAAATAACGGCCCTTTGGGCAGGGCTTCCTAGTCCCCAATCTAAATCAATCCCCTCCTGCTACACTGTCACGACACTGCAGTGATCACAGTTGGAAATGCATCCCAGGGGCTGGTGCTGTAGCACAGTGGGTTAAGTTGCTACTTGGGACACTCACACCTGTATCAAAGTGCCTGGGCTGTGTGCAGCCCCACTTTTTTTTTTTTTTTAAGATTTTAATTTATTTTAAAAGTAGTGACAAAGAGCCTGATCTTCTGTCTACTGTTTCATTCCCCAAAAGGCCACAATAGCCGGGGTAGAGCAGGCCAAAGCCAGGAGCCTGGAACTCCATCTGGGTCTCCAACACAGGTGGCGGGGGCCCAAGTCCTTGGGGACATTTTTTGCTGCTTTCCCAGACCATCAGCAGGGAGTTGGACTGGAAGTATAGCAGCCAGGACTTGAACTGGCATGCTGAGAATGGGATGTGTCACAGGTAGCAGATTAACCTGCTGTGTTGCAATGCTGGCCCCTACCTCTGCTTTTGGTCCAGCTTCTGCTAATGCCCCTGGGAGGCAGCAGCAGGTGGCCCAAGCACCCAGCTAAGGGCCCATCCCCAGCTTTTGTAGGCACCTGGAGACAACCAGCACCTGGAAGGTATCTGTCTCTTCTCGTCATGCTTTTAAATAAATAACAGGTTTTAAAAAAGGATTCGTATCTAACACGACCCAGCCAGGAGGCTGCTAGAACCACATCTTTTGTGCACCACTAAACATCCAGCTCCCAGAGCCTAATGGCACTCAATGAAAACTTGTTTACTGAAGGAATGAATGAAAGTATGTCAGGCATTTTGCAGATAAGGATGAGGCGCTTGCTTGGTTACACAGGAAATGGTGCAGCCAGGGTTCCAGCCAAGGTGGCTTGACTCCATATATAATTCAACACGGACCCTGAACTGGATGGTCTACACTACAACAGTAGGGAAAAGTCTGAGTTTTGAAGATCTCACAGGGAACTTTTTTATAGCTGAGCCTGTCTGGGTAGGAAAAGAAATACTTCCAAAAGTCTAACCCTAGCATGCCAGTTACTTAAGAGCATTCTCCCAGAACAAATAAGTTTAGAGGTCATAGAAAATTCCAATGGACATTCTTTTTTTTTTTTTTTAAGATTTATTATTTATTTATTTGGAAGTCAGAGTTACATAGAGAGAGGACAGGCAGAGAGGGAGAGAGAGAGAGAGAGGTCTTCCATCCGATGGTTCACTCCCCAGATGGCCACAACGGCTGGAGCTGTGTCGATCCAAAGCCAGGAGCCAGGAGCCTCTTCTGGGTCTCCCACGCGGGTGCAGGGTCCCAAGGACTCAGGCCATCTTCTACTGCTTTTCCAGGCCATAGCAGAGCTGGATCGGAAGTGGAGCAGCCGGACTCGAACCGGCACCCACATGGGATGCCAGTGCTCCAGGCCAGGGCGTTAACTGCTGCACCACAGCGCCGGCCCCCCAATGGACATTCATTCACTGAAGGTGCTATCGTATTTAACTCAGTGTATTCCACTTTAATCTGACCCTGCGCCCTTTAAGAGAACACACTTTGAGGAATGTGGGTGCAGAGGCTTTTGCAGCAAATACAGGAAAGGGGTAACAGACTCATCCAACTGTATGTTGAGGCCGTGAGTGAGGGAACGATGACAGCTACGGAGGCTGAGTCAGCACGGACAGACCTGAGAGTCAGGATCAACGTGACTGGATCCACCAGAGTCCTGGAGCAGGAACATGCTAAGCCATGTCTTCAGAGCAGAACAGCCTCTCTTCCTGATCCACTTAGAAGAGGTGCCTAAGACTTCTAAGATCAGGCAGGGACCTCACAAGAAATGTGACCGACAACCCCAGTCATGGCTTAAAACAGTGCTTCTAGGGCTGGCACTGTGGCGTAGCTGGTAAAGCCACTGCTGGCGACACCAGCATCCCATAAGGGCGCTGGCTTGAATCTCAGCTGCTCCACTTTCAATCCCAGCTCCCTGCTCATGCACCTAGGAAAGCAGGTGTTCCAAGTGCTTGGGCCTCTGCACCCATGTGGGAAGTGAACCAGCAGATGGAAGATCTACCTATCCTTAATATTATGTTTCAAATAAAAAAAAATAATAATAACAGGCCGGCGCCGTGGCTCACTAGGCTAATCCTCTGCCTGTGGCGCCAGCACCCCGGGGTTCTAGTCCCGGTTGCTCCTCTTCTAGTCCAGCTCTGCTGTGGCCAGGGAGTGCAGTGGAGGATGGCCCAAGTGCTTGGGCCCTGCACCCGCATGGGAGACCAGGAGGAAGCACCGGGCTCCTGGCTTTGGATCGGCCATAGCGGCCATTTTGGGGGTGAACCATCGGAAGACCTTTCTCTCTAAATCTGCCTGCCAAAAAAAATATATAAATAAAATAAAATAAATCTTTTAAAAATACTTCTCATGATTCTCTTTCTTCAGCTTCCCATGGTGTCTGCAGGGATCACTCCTAAGGCTGCATCAGCTGGGAGTCTGGCTGGGGCACCTTGGTTTGCCTACATATGGTCGGCCAGCATTCAGTAGTTTCACTCCGGCTTCTGGTTTGGAAAATTTGTTTCCAAGAATAAAAGTGGAAACTGCCAGAATGTCACTTCAGTAACATTCTATTAGTCCAAACAAGTCCCAAATCCAGCCCACAGCCAAGAGGAGGAAAAACAGCTCTTCTTGGAAGAGCCAGCGTGTGTTCCCGGGGTGGGGGGCCATCTGTGGACATGATCTACTCTGTGCCTGTGAGGTAGAGTGTAGGCTTCTGATCACTGTGGATAGAGTGATAGTAAGTAGTTTCCAGGAAAAAAAAATCCCTAATTAAGAACAAAGATTGGCTTCTTGGAATGAACATGACTTGTCAAGGCTGAAGGTGTTTACATCTCACAGAGACCATCTGGGAGGAGCCATGGAGCCAAAGTTGGGCAATAATGCAGGTTATTTTCTCCACTCTTGGGTAGAAGTAAACAGTCTCCCGAGCCCCCGACGTGGCAGTGTGGCCTGCATCTAAAGGTGTTGCACAAGAAGGAAGAGAAAGCCAAACTGCACTTTCAGCACTGGGACATTTTACACCACCAGGCAAGCCCTTGTTTCTGTCTTAGTGGCATTTATTGGCATTTTTATCAAAGATACCACAAAGGAAGTAGGCAATTATACTGTACCCGTCGGCAGGAAATGGTCTGTAAGAGCCACTCACATGGAAATGTGTGGCAGAAAAAGCTGGGAACAGAACCGGTGGAGGTCCAATGCTACAATTCCATGATCCCAACAGCAAAGGGTTGTTCCTAGAATTCCTAGCATATCACACACTATCACTTAGCAAAAGGATTTTTTAATAGTTCATTCTCCACCGACTGCCAACCCTAAAAATAAATTCCTCTGGTTCAAACCCCTTACAGGCACAGGAACTGTATTCCTATGTGTAGTAAGTCATGCAAAGCTCTGTCCATACAACCGTCTGCTAGGACACTAATGCTCAGGGCCACAGGGAGCCAGGCCTTCTCCCTGCTGCCAGCTCACCTTACTCCAAAGGACTGGCTGAGCCTGAGCCACACTAAACCACTAGCTTGGGGTTCTGGGGTAGGAGTGAGGCAGACAGAAGGTTCCTGCCTTCTTAAAGCCAGGGTCTCTTAACTCAGTGTCCAGCAATGGGTTCAGAGGCACAGGTTTCTCAATGTGAGTACATATTGGCACAGGAGCATTAAAAAATTCAATGTTTTGATGAGATTCTAAAAGATCAGAAGAAAAAAAGATCACAGTTGAGAGTAACGCTGCCACATTTTCATACTCCTGAATACACCACTTCAGTGCCATTTAACTAGTGGCTCTTCAAAGAGAAAAGGCAGGGAGACTTGAAAAGTTATTAATGTGTACCCAAAAAAGCTGACTTTCCCGTTTCATGTTCCAGAAAGAGTATGTACAGTGGGCAAGCTGTGGTTTATTTTTGTATACTGGTTTTAGATGCTATGCAACCATGACCTCGATCTGAACCAGCTGGCTTGACGTGGGCAGCTTCATTTGAGGCCATTCCTAACCCTGGGCATGCAACTTGCCCAGAACTATAGGGACAAATCAAAGTCGAGGACAAGTCATAAGCATCATCTTGCCATATAAAGGGAGTACTGTAGTTTTAAAAATCACTAGGAGCAGGCATCTAGCCTAGCAGTTAAGAAACCCACATGCCACACTGCAGTACCTGGGCACAGTTCCCAGTTTCAGACTCAAGTTTCTTGCCAATGCAGACCCTGGGTGGTAGCAGCAATGCAAGTAACTGGGTTCCTACTACACACATGGGAGACCCGGATTATGTTCGAGCTCTGGTTCTAGCCAGCCCCAGCCATCAGGCAAGTGAACCAGCAGCTAGGACTCTCGTCTCTTAAAAAATTACTGGGGCCAGCGCTGTGGTTTAGGGGGTTAAGTTGCTCCATTTCCAATCCAGCTCCCTGCTAATGCACCTGGACAAGCAGAAGATGGCCCAAGTGTTTGGGCCCTGCACTGATGCTGGAGACCCGGAAGAAGCTCCTGGTTCCAAGTTGGCCCAGCCCCAGCCATTGTGGCCATTTGGGGAGTGAACCAGCAGATGGGAGACCTGTCTCTCCTCTCTATAAATGAATCTTTAGAAAGAAAGAAACATGGGTGTCTGTTAAGCAAATCTAATTAGAAGGGAGGATGACAAACCATTAAAGAAACAAGAAAGGTAAAGCACACGGTAGAGAAGAGGCTGTGAGCTTTCCATCTGGACAGAGCAGAATGCGGATTCCTGGCGCCATTGCTCACTCCCACCCCCGGCTCCAGGAGAGGTGCTTCCGCTGTGCGAGTGCCAGCTTAGATCAGGAGTACTGCAGACTTGCGCTCTGCTAAGGCAGGAGCCCAAGCAGCCGAGCTCCTTTTGTGCAAATAAAAAAGGAGTTAAAGAGGACTTTGAGTCTCCCTCGAGGTTGCCAAGGGAAGTGAACATTGTCCCCACATCTGTAAGGACTGTACACCAGAGAAATCTCCCTTTTACTTTAAACATATTTGTATGTCATCTGACAGGCAGAGAGACAGAGCTCTCACCCGCTGGTTTACTCCCCAGGTCCCCGGGGAACAAGGAACACAATCGAAGTCTCCCACATAGGTGGGAAGGACCCAGCCCCTGGAGCCGTCACCTGCTGCCTCCCAGGATGTGCATCTGCAGCAAGGCAGGCACCCCGGCACGGGATGCAAACACCCAAATACCCGCCCACTTCCTTCAATTTTTAGAGGTGGCAATCATTGGAGCTGGAGATCAGTACTGTGCCCCGCCCTCAAGTGCCTTTACCACTCAGCATTCCAGCCTCTTGTACATTTCATCTACTTCAAATTCCTTCAGAATCTGAGAACAATTTCTGATTTAAAACAAGATTTGAGCACACTTCACCCTATGAAAAGATGAACATGGGGGCTGGCACTGTGGTGCAGCGGGCTAAAGCCCTAGCCTGCAGTGCCGGCATCCTATATGGGCACCAGTTCAAGTCCTGGCTGCTCCACTTCAACCCAGCTTCCTGCTAATGCACCCGGGAAGTCAGGGAGAATGGCCCAAGTAATGGGGCCCTGTATCCATGAAAGAGACCCAGAGGAAGCTCATGGACCATTACAGGCCCATCTCTGGCCATTGCGGCCATTTGGGGAGTGAACCAGCAGACAGAAGATGTAACTCTTTCAAATAAATAATTCGAGAAAGGCCTTTTTATAAGCTCAAGTTTCTTTTTGCCATCTTGACCCCCAAAAGGACCCTAACCTTATAAAGGAAGACCCTGTCTACTAGGGCAGACTGTGAGCAAACCAGTTTGGCAAAGACAATTTCCATGCACTCTCCTCTAGCCACCCACTTTCTGCACTGGGTAAACAGTGGCCTTCAGAAACACTGTCATCTCATCTTGGCAGAGTGCCAATGATTAGAGGAGACACGGCTCACAACTGGTGCTTGGAGAAGGGATACACCCGTGCCCAGGTCCCACAAGTTAGTGACTGTACCCACACCTAATTCTAACTTCTTCTTGGTTCCAATGCCCCCCAAACCAAAGGGCAATGAATACAGGAATGAGCTACTGACTGGTCATTGCCATACACACACAAGAGCCTGAACTGCAGGTAGGCAGACTGAATGTGTTTCAGCAATGACAAGTTCAAAGTTAGCACTCCCTCTATAGATAGTCTGCATGAGTCGAAAAAATTCCACAGCCACAAACCACATCCCTCAACAGTTTGCGGCTAGAGAAAACAAATCCCAAGTGCATTTACTATCAGCAGCAGGTCAACGACATCATTTTCATACACAAATGAGAACCCTGGATGAAACCAGACTTGAGCAGAGAACATGCTTTATTGAGGAGTAATACAGAAGAGCACATTCTACCACATGTGGGGAAGGGTTTAGCGTCTGTAAAAGGCCTTCACCCCTTAAGAAAACCCCCAGTGAAGTTGCTTTTGGATAAATTTTAACAGTGACACTGAAACTGGAGGGGAGCTGCCACTGAACATGCTTAAAATTAGCTCCCCTGACCCACAGTGAATATAAGTAGTGTACAGAGATGACAAGAGAAAGGCACAAATGACCAGAGTCGGGATTGTGGTGAGGGCGCCACATGAAGACAGCAGTGTTGTAGGAGACCAAGCTGGGAAGGGTGACAAGTCAGACATCAAAAGCTGCCCCAAGATAGCAGGTTATAATGGGCTAGAGAGAAATTAGAGGGAACATCTCCTCCTTCACTTGAACAACACCAGAAATAGGAGACCAGAGAACAGAAGACGATGGCAAATCCCAAAAAGGAAGTGGAGGGGGAGCTCTCGGAGGGGCAGAAACACTGTCGTTCTAGAGGGAGGGTGAGGCACTGCTGAAAAGAGAGGCAAACCTTGGCAAGGGCGGCCATCCTGCCTTGCTGAGTCACAGGCTGCGACACAGGAGTCATTTTCAGTCACTTCCAAATTCTCCCAGGATGTTGGGACAAAATCAGGGCAACTCATGTGCAAGCACAGGTGCACTCTGCCTGGTACAGGCATACAGTACTATGTACTGCTGAACAAGTGAGCAGGACTTTTACAGTATGATTAACGAGCTAACATGTTGCATGAAGGGAGAACTGTCAATTATTTTGGCACCTGCAAACATAAAAGAGGGCAGGAAGTAAACAGGGAAGAAAACATTTAAGACTGGGCACTTTTGGTGAGGCAAAAAGAAGTTTCCATTCCTTTCCACCAAAATCCTGCCCACAGGTAAAATCAAAACACACAATCTTAATTCTTCTCTCCATCTCCTCAAGATGGAGTCTGTGATGTTACCAAAACTAATCCCTGGGAAACTCTTCGGAACTATGTGGCTCTGGTCAGCCCCGTACTGATCAAAAACATGTCTTTCAATAAAAATGGAGGAAAAAAAATGTAAAGCAAGATGAAATCCAAAGTGAATGAACCCCCCCAGTACTCACACACACTCACTCCCAAGTGCTACCTCTGCCCTGCCCCTCCACAGAACACGTGCGTCAGGAGGAACCGGAAGGGCCCTGGTGCTGGCAACAACCGTATTTGGAGGTCTGGTGACCGGGTGGCGAGAAGCACTAGTACAAAGTTCAGGAGACACAACACAACCTCATGGGGCTAGAGGACGTGAGGAGAGAACCAGTGACTGGACAGGTACAGTACCATAACAGAACTCCTTGGGTCAGTGCTATGAGGGCTCTGCGTCGAGTCGAACACAGATCCCAGCCAGGCAACCTCACTGAGGCCGAAACAACAGTTCCTCAGAACCAGTGTCTGCAGTGTACACAAAGGTCGGAGCCAGGACAGTCCTGAGGGGGATGGCCTTCCCAAAGGATACTGTACTTGCCAATCACAAGAGCAACAGAAATGACAGACAGATCCCTAGGGTACGGATTCCTACTGCTGGGGTTCGCTGGCTCAGAATGACAGGTCACTTTAAGTGCCCTTGGGTGGGGTCCATTTTAAGCAGCTTGGATCCATGGTTTTGTTGGAGTTGGACCGTTTGGCCTCTTTGGCTATCCACTCATCAATCAGGTCCTGGGGAGAACAACAGGACAAAGTATTACACACATTCAACTGAGACGCTCTGATGCACAGATTCCAAAATGACTATCAGCCAAGAAGGAAAGGGGTTAATTAATATTAACGTATTAAAAAAGGATAAACACATTTTCAAACTGCTTTCCTACCTAATCCATTTTTTACTATGTCCACAGAGAGAACCAAAAATCATTATTCATCCAACCTTGTAAGACATGGTCAACTAAAAAATTAAAAGCAGGCATAAGCTGAGGTGGCATTTGTTCAAAGGACTTAAAATCACTTCCACAAGCCCTAGAGTTTGTGATAATTCCCCTGTGCAGAGAGGCAACTTTCTCCAATCTAAGACAACCATCAGATGACAGTAATGCGGCGCACCATAAAGCTGCTTAACTTGTGCCTCCACATTTCAAAGAGGAGCTTACCAAAAGCTTCAGCCAAGATAAGGTAGCAGATAAGTATAATCACAGCATTGCCAGCTACAGAAATGAAACCTGGGAAGAGGTGCATGCGTTCAAACAAAGGCCTCTCCTTTGCTCTGCTAAGCCTCAAGGAGCAGCAGGCGAGGAGCAATCAGCTGATAAGAACCTTACCTGTCTCTTTAAAACGAGGTGCTTTCCTTTCCAATACTTGAGCATCTGAAGGGCTTGCAGAGTGCTGACAATGTCCACGGGATTCACAGCCGTCTCCTGACTGATTTCTGAAACAGAAGAGCTAATGAGAGCCGGCCCAAAAGCACAGGCCCCGGCCCTTTAGTAATCACATGGTTAGAATCTTCAATACTCAACCCAAATTGTTCAGGAGTGATTTACAAAACACTCATATAACCAGTCTACCAAGAAGCTACTCTAGGCCAGAGATCATGGTCAAATATATACCATGTCTTTCTTAGCTCCTGCGTGTAGCAAAATATTCAAAGAAAAGTTTTCCTTCTTGACTTTTTAAAGAACTAAAACGTTAGCAACTCCAGATTTCAGAGACCAATCCATAACCATTCCCAGGGGCCAGATGCTCTGAAATCCCAGGCCCCTGCAGTGATGAGGACTTTGCTGTGGTCCACATTCAGTGGGCCTTCTGCCCTCACATTCAGAGGCAACAAAGCCTGAACCGGGCCAAGTGAAAAGTTGTAATATATTCAGTGGAGTTAGCGCCTTAGGTAACAATACAACCACTCCAGAGTGTCAAAAACCAACCTTTGATAGAAATCTCTTTGCCTTGGAAATTATGCAGGTAACGGAGAAGCACTTCTTTCCAGTAGCTGCGATAGCTTATGAGCCCCAGATCTGAGAGTGGGCGTTCTGGGGAGCCAACCTTTTCTTCCACTTTGGAAAGCAAATAACCTGCCAGGGAACAAATACACAGACTTTTTCTGGCAACTCTAATTCATCCTAACAGCAAAGACCAGTGTGGATACCCAGAGATTTAAGGTGACAGTCCACTTGGCATCATCAGGTAGGCTTCAGCCATTCAGTGGAATAGGTACTTACTGTATGGCTGTCATGTAGAACACACTGCCTTTGTGTAAACAAAATGTCTATGTGTGTTTACTTATAGTAGGCAAACTCCAGAAGGTTTCATTACAAACTGTAATAACAAGGGTCCTTTTCAGAATGTTCTGGAAGAGGGTAAATGGGAAGCTACGCCATTATATAGCTTTCTGCATTTTTCAAAGCTCTGAATTTTAAAATTATCTGAGCATCACTTATGAAGTAGTAAAGCGTATGAAAAACCTGCAGAAGTCTCTAGTTACGACATCTATACATCCAAAAATCGAGGTATACAAAATTTTGCAAAATACATAAAGCAACACCACAGGGAGACATTCAGCAAAATTCATCATCTGGGAAACGCTACTCAACAACTACCCTGGCTTTTCTCAACAACAAAAATAGCAAGGGGAAAAGACATGGGGAGCTTTTAGATTAAAAGGGAAATTATAAGCCACTTCTGCCAATTCCAATATCAACTTCACTTGGATCTGAGTATAAATAATTGTTAAAAAAATCAAAAAATTAGGCAAATCTGAATATTACAGTTTACAATACTAAGGATTGTTTTTGGCCTTTTTTGGAGGGTATGTGTGTCTCTTAAGGTATAATAAACCTATCTTTCACAGATACTAAAATAACTGAAGGTGAGAATACAGAATTTGGGTGATGAAAACAAGGCAATCTATGTTATTTATATTCAACCTCTGTGTATGCTAGAGAGTTTCCATAAATGAGGTTTATGAAAAGGTATCACCTGTTCAAAAACAGCCAGTCCCTCCTCCCTTAGTGAATTATGCCACTTCCTGATTAATCTCCTCTTTGGTGGCTTAAAAATCAAAGAGGAGCTGAGTTTTGTAGCACAGGAAGTTAAGGCACCGCCCAGGACACCTGCATCTCATTATTGCAGTACCCAGGGCCGAGTCTCGGCTACTCTGCTTCTGACACAGCTTCCTGGTAATACCAGCAGGGAAAGCAGCAGATGACTCAAGTACCTGGGATCCTGCCACCCATGAGAGGCCTGCTGGAGTTCCTTGCTCCTGGCTTCCACCTGGCTCAGTGCTGGCTGTTTCAGGCATTTGGGGAGTGAACTAATGGAGGAAAGATCTGTCACTTTGTCCCTCAAAGAAATTCACAAAACTTCAAAAGAAAAAAAAGGCGCTGGCACACCGGGTTCTAGTCCCGGTCAGGGTGCTAGATTCTGTCCTGGTTGCCCCTCTTCCACGCCAGCTCTCTGCTGTGGCCCAGGAAGGCAGTGGAGGATGGCCCAGGTGCTTGGGCCCTGCACCCCATGGGAGACCAGGAAAAGCACCTGGCTCCTGGCTCCTGCCATCGGATCAGCGCGGTGCGCCGGCCGCAGTGTGCCGGCCGCGGCGGCCATTGGAGGGTGAACCAACGGCAAAGGAAGACCTTTCTCTCTGTCTCTCTCTCACTGTCCACTCTGCCTGTCAAAAAAAAACAAAAACAACAACAACAAAAAAAACAAAACAACAACAACAACAAAAAAAAGGGCATGGAAGGCTAATTCTGATTATAGTAAGTCATTTGACAGCGAATAATGAATGATATACAGCAGATTCTTTGTTATTCACAGTGGTTATGTTCTGTATTCACAGAGAACACCGAATTAGCAAATACTGAACCACCTACTGCTCCTAGGAAATACAGGATTGGAGTCCTTTGAGTCTCTGATCACATGTTCATCAAGCAAACAATACATAATACATCATCTTATTTGACATGTTCCTGTACAGAAGACCGTATTTGATGTATACCATTGATTCCGTTAACACTGAACTCCTGGCCAACAGCACCGCAACTCACACCTGAAGACAGCTTATCCGGCCACTGTAGACACATCAGCCCTGCACTTTGGAGCACGAAACGGCACCTGAGCACTATGCTAAGGGCCATTTTAAGTAGCCATCAGAAAGCACAAACTTGCGGGAAACATGGCACTAAGACAACAAAGACAAACACTTATTTATGGTGTGAAAGCTGAAACAAAGTATTGGGAGCTCAGCTAGGAATGTACACATCTTGCGGTGCATGTTTGAAAATGACAGATTTTGGGGTCACAAATTTAATGAGTAGGCAGATTTGCAAACAGAATCCATGATTAATGAGGGTGGAGTGTGTACTCAGTTTCTATCAGGTTTATGCACTGCCCCTGAACAAGTTCTTAACAAAAGTGAAATCCCTAACATCAAGGAGCAGATTTGTAGCCTTATGCATGGATGTGCTCTATTTACGTCTCAAACTGGGAAAATCCCGAAGGGCGTGCCTTTTCGTCCTCACCATCTCCTGTCAAGTACCTACTCAGGGTTCCGCATTTATTGAGTGTTCAATGTATATCAGAAAGGCAAACAAGATTCATAAGATCCTTGCCTTGTGGAGCTTATGACTTAGCAGTTTCACTTACTGAAATCAATGAGCATCTTGCCATATCCCTGTCTCATGTACTGAGGCATGGTAAGGATACAGGATACATTGTAGTTGAGGAATGAATTCTTTTCCTAAAATCAAGAGCAAACAGATGAGTAGGTCATCGGGATTTGGAACCAAAGGTTTCAGCACTCCCCCGGATTCTAAACAAGGCTATTTGCAAACTATCCAGCTAGCCAGTTCTGGGTAATGGCTGTCAGTTTTGCAACTGTTCTATCTATATCTACACCCTTTATAATGGCCAAAATCATTAACCCAAGGGTCTCCCCAGCTCTGAGACCTCCGATCTCATTTTAAGGGGGCCACCTCTGGGGTCTCTATGGGCACAGAGCAGGGCAAGAGGGTTCGGATTGCTGAATCAGCCTACAGTAGCTCTCTTTAAGAGCAGTGTTTCAAAACAAGGCTACTTACTGGAAGAGAAAGGAAGGAAACAAAACAGTAAGTTCTCATTCTGGAAGGAGACCAAAAACAATTAAACTCCCTATTGTACAATTTCATTTATGTGAAACATCCAGAACAGGCGAATTTATAGAGATGCAAGGGCTGGGAGAGGTTGGGTGGAAATGGGGGTGATAATTAATGCGTATGGGGTTTCCTCCTGGGATAATGAAAATTGTTATTTCACACTTTGTAAATATACTAAAAACCACTGAATGATACACTTTATTTTTTTATTTTATTTTTTTGACAGGCAGAGTGGAGTGAGAGAGACAGAGAGAAAGGTCTTCCTTTTGCCATTGGTTCATCCTCCAATGGCCGCCGCGGCCAGCGTGCTGCGGCCGGAACACCGCGCTGATCTGAAGCCAGGAGCCAGGTGCTTCTCCTGGTCTCCCATGGGGTGCAGGGCCCAAGTACTTGGGCCATCCTCCACTGCACTCCCGGGCCATAGCAGAGAGCTGGACTGGAAGAGGGGCAACTGGGACAGAATCCGGCGCCCCAACCGGGACTAGAACACAGTGTGCCGGTGTTGCAGGCGGAGGATTAGCCCATTGAGCCGCGGCGCCGGCCTGAATGGTACACTTAAAAACTGCAAGAATCATATTTCAAGGAAGTTGTTGTATTAAAGTCATAAGCCAAATCTGGCTTTTGATCTTTAGAGGCACAGTCGTATTATCACAGGAGGGGCTGTGCTTTTGCCTGGCTAAAGAACCAGGCCAAAGGAATATATTCCCGGCTTTAAGCTGATAAAACAGAAGAGGGTAGAGCCATGAGAGTGGGTTGGACTGTATGATGTGGACTTGAGGGCTAGAAGGGAGGGCCTGGGCTAGTTAATTAATAGGCAACTCCAGGGGATGGCATTGTGGCACAGATTAAACCATGCCTGCCACACTGGCATCCCATACGGGTACCAGCTGTTCCACTTCCGACCCAGCTCTCTGCGAATGCGCCTAGAAGGGCAGTGGAGGATTGCCCAAATGCGTGGGCCCCTACCACCCAACATGGGAGACGCGGATGGAGTTCTGGGCTCCTGGCTTCAGTCTAGCCCAGCCCAGCCCCAGTCATTGTGACCATCTGGGGAGTGAATCAGCTGTCTCTCCCTTCCCCTCTCCCTGTAACTGTCCTTCTTAATTATATAAATCTTTTATTCTTTCAAATAGGCAACTCCATGGGGTTGGCACTGTGGCCTAGGGGTAAAGCCACCACCTGCAGTGCTGGCATCCCATATGGGCACTGGTTCAAGACCTGGCTGCTTCACTTCTGATCCAGCTCTCTGCTATGGCTTGGAAAAGCAGAAGATGGCCCAAGTTCTTGGGCCCCTGCAACTATATGAGATCTGGAAGGAGTTCCTGGCTCCTGGCTTCGGCCTGGACTAGCTCCAGCCGTTGCAGCCATTTGGGGAGTGAACCAGCAGACTGAAGATGGGTCTCTCTCTCTCTTTAACTGCCTTTCCTTTCAAATAAATAAATAAATCTTAAAAAAAAAAAAATAGGCAACTCCAGTGCATAAGTTCAGAAATAAATAAACCAGAAGCTTTCAATAAAGAATTGCACATTTTCATTAAATAATCTTTCACACACAGGTGTCCCCTCCCCCTTTTAAAGAAGGAACTGTCACTGTTGCCCAGGGCACCACCTTCTCCAGTCCGTGATTCGAGCACCCATGTGCCAACACTGAGCACCCTGCTCTGGCCATTCATTTGTTAATCTCCAGATGCTGCTAACCTTAGAAAAATAGCCAATCAGGTGACAGCCAGTGTTATCTGCTTCTGTCATCACATAGAACAGGAACGGTTCCACATCATAATACAATGTCTTGTGGTCCAGAAAAAGCTTGGCCAACAGGCACAGGTTTTGGCAGTAGATCTGGAAGCAAAGAAACAGTTCAGGTGTGGGTCAGTGAGTCCTAAACTTATCAGATTAAGGCCTCAAATTAAGGATCACAGCATTACTGTTAATGAGACAGAGCTCTCCTACTGCCAAAATAGACAGTTTCTATCTCCTTGACGTAAACATGTGAGGGAGACAAAGGACACTCCTTCAGAAACCTGTGAGTGTAAACACTGCCACCTCTTTCTCGGGTCAGTGCTTCTTACCTTGTTTTTCTTGCCATCCACTTCAAACACAGAGATTGAGCCTTTGCGATATATCTCATCACCCGGTGGGTGTTTCCACACACACTTGGCCTGCAATAGAATGGAGTTCAGACATAGCAATCAAAGTTCCTGACAAGACTGCCTCTCACAAGGGGAAAGGAACCAGAGGTCACATTCGGTTAACGAGTGGAGGGAGATACTTATCCAGCAAAAAAGGGAGATTTTTTTTTTCCCCAGTAAAACAAATAAAAGCTTTGAAAGTCAAATATATATTCATGACATTGTTACAGCAATTTAGAACAAGTTTTCTGGGTTATATTCTGGCACTATTTCAGTCCAGATTAAAATCACACACTACATAAAAGCCAGATAAAAAAAAAAAAAAGAAAAAAGAAAATACCCCTGCTTGTCAAACGCTGCACACCAACAGGAAATTCTTAAGCAGCTTATTTCCAGCAGCTTAGAGTTGCTGAAAATCTTATTTTCACCTTTCCCAGTAACCTCTCATTATCATCTAACCGCCAGGGTCTTCTTTTCTGATTAGAAAACCAACTACCTTGATAAAAATCATGCCCTACTACCCTCAAAATGTGTTCTCTTTGTTATATAAAGAAATAAAAGAATGTTGGTCTCCCTGTGGCAAGCCAACGTGGCAACAGGAAGCCAAGGAGGACTTGGCCACAAGGGGGCACAAGGCACCCCCTTCCTCACACTCACCTGCTACCACTGTTAACACAGCCAGTCACCCAGCATTGTAAATGGATAACCCTTTTATCTTTTTAAGTTTTATTTATTTGAAATGCAGTTACAGAGAGAGGGAGAAAGACAGAGAGGTCTTCCACCCACTGGTTCACTCCCTAAATGGCTGCAGTGGCCAGGGCTGGGCTAGGCCGAAGCCAGGAGCCAGGTCTCCCACGAGGGTACAGGGAACCAAGCATTTGGGCCATTATCTGCCTCTTTCCCATGCACAACAGCAGGGAGCAAGATAGGAAGTGGAGCATTCAGGACTCAAACAGGTTCCCCTATGGGATGCTGGCATTGCAGGCAGTGGCATAACCTGCTATGCCACAGTGCTGGCACAAAAGGCTAACTCTTTAAAGCTCTTAAATAAACACATTTTAAAATATTGTTTTAAAGTATGTGCATATAGAATAAACAATTTTTTATAATTCTTTTGGTCAACTCTGGAATCACACACCAGCTTCCTGGTGGTGGCCTAGGAAAAGCAGCAGAGGATGGCCCAAGCGTCTGGGCCCCTGCCACCCACATGAAAGACCTGAATGAAGCTATTAGTTCCTGGCCCAGCACTAGCCATTGTGGCTATCTGGGGGAATGATACAGTGGATAGAAGATCTCTCTCCTTCTCTCTCTCTCTCCTTTCTCTGTCACTCTTCCAAATAAATGAATTTAAAAAGTTCCACCTACAGCTTGCTCCTAATTCCCCATTACTCATGCTAGCTCTGCAACAATTATTTGCTTAGAAACAGAAGCAAAGTCAAAGAAGGACCATTTCAGTAATTACACTTGAAGCAATAGGAATCAGAACAGACATGGATTAAACTAAGTTTGTATTTCTGAAATTTGATTTTTATAACTCATATAATGCAGGAGATCCTGAAAGAGTCAGAATGCCTATTTGATCTTCAGATTTATCTAGACCCCTCATTTTCTCTCTTGATTCTTGTCCTTTTGGCTAAAGAATCAGAAACAAAAAGAAGGAAAGCATAAATGGTAGCAGTCCACATCAATAGAAACCCAAGTTTCACTTATCCTGCTGGTATGCAATCTGTGTCAGTGTCCTGTCCTTCTCACACCACCATTATTCCCCAAGCCCAGTATTTCAACCAGTCCTCAGCTATCACCTCCCCTCTGTTATTCTAGCCCCACACAAGGCAGTGTTGGAGTCTGGAGATTTAATTCAAAGTAGCAGTTCTGGGCCACAATACTACAGATCAAGTGCTCCAGAATGGGGAACACAAAAAGCAGTATCAGGGGCCGGCGCCATGGCTCACTTGGTTAATCCTCCACCTGCAGCACCAGTATCCCATATGGGCACTGGGTTCTAGTCCCGGTTGCTCCTCTTCCAGTCCAGCTCTCTGCTGTGGCCTGGGAAGGCAGTGGAGGATGGCCCATGTGCTTGGGCCCTGCAACCACATGGGAAACCAGGAGGAAGACCTGGCTCCTGGCTTCAGATCGGCGCAGTGTACTGGCCGTGGTGGCCATTTGGGGGGTGAACCAATGGAAGGAAGACCTCTCTCTCTTTCTCTCACTAACTCTGCCTGTCAAATTAAAAAAAAGAAAAAGAAAAGAAAGGCAGTATCACCACACTGGGGAGAAGAGTATGTCAGAAATCCTGGAAACAAACAGCAGAAGGGGAAGGAAGTTCCCCTAAAAGGCCTGAGTCAAACTTATAATTCATCGTGACTACAGGAACAAGAGGATTCTCTGTCCTGCTCCATGGCAGAAATATCCTTTAAGACTTTTTATTCCATAACCAGGGGGAAAAAATTAGCTTCAAGTTGCAAAAACATCTAGTAAACACTTGGGTTGACAATAAAATAAGTGGCTGGCACTGTGGCTCTGCAGGTCAAACCACCACTTGAAATGCTGGCATCCCATATATGGTTCAAGTCCCAGCTGCTCAGCTTCTGATGTATCTCCCTGCTAATGTGCACCCTGGAAAGCAGCAGGTGATGGCTAAAGTACCTGGGCCCCTATCACCCATGTAGGAGATCAGGGTGGATTTCCGGGCTTCAGCTTGCCCCAGACCTGACTACTGCGGCCATTTGGGGAGTGAACCAGAAGATGGAAGATTGATCTGTCTCCCTCTCTGTGCTGTTCTGCCTTTCAAATAAAGATAAACCTTATAAATAAATTAATTTAATTAAATGCAAGTCTTTATTCCTATTTTAATATCAAGAACATTCAGAAACCACAAACACTGAACAGCTTTAGGGGAAGGCATCAAAAGATTCACTCTGTAAACACTATGATCTGTCACAGGCTGCTGTCTTCAGTGATAAGTGTTCATTTCCTGAGCATCCACTGCCCATGCCAGTAGCTAGTGATACCTGCTAAGGCAGGCTGTCCCTGCTCTGTCAAATTAAGCCCCTGTGTTGTTTGGAACACACAAAAACGGAGGGCAGAAGCAATTCATACTCCAAGGCAGAAATGGGGAAGAGTAGGGAGCAAGGATAGAAGACAGGAAGATGCACAGGACAGGAGGTGACTAAGGGCTGTCAGCTGCCAGGGGTGCCACCAGACTGTGAGACTATAAGACCCTGCCTGGAAATGGGGCTTTCTAATTGCTATCCTTTGTCCCACTACTTGTGGACCACTGAGTTGTCTGGACAGACATCATTTCTAGGACAAAAGTTGGAGATCCTAAGGCTCATTACTATTGCGGGCAAGAGAAAAGAACCCAAGGCAACTTACCATGTGTCGGCGGAGTATTGTTTGGCTCTTCATATATTTTAAACAGAATTCACACATGTAGAGACGTCCCAGCCGTGCATATTCCTCAGGATAGGGAGAATGATACCAAGTATCAAGTTCATAGCGGCCAAAAGCAATTGTTTTAATCATGTTGCTACCCTCTGTGATTTGGCCTTGAAGCCTTAGCTTCTCCTATTGCCAAGAAGAAACAAAAGTTAAAGAGGAGTTGAATTTATCATCTTTGTCTTTAAAGGCCCTTAGTAAGCTTGTGTGCCTGCCACCATCCTAGGCTAGACAGATTCTGCTTTTGTGCATGAAGAATCTACACTACAGAGGTCTACAAAAGCATGGAAGCCAGGCAGGCTTACAGAAAAGGTGCTCTCTGCACCGTCCGGAGCACAGATCTCAATAAAGTGGTTTCTGTGCTCCCTACCCAACTCTTAAGTCTCATCAGAATGAGTCTTTGGCAACATTTTTTATCTGCCAAACCGAGTGATTAAAGGTAATCCACCAGATACAAACTCCCCACCCTCACAACATGTAACACTAAAAACAAGAGGTTATTGAGAACGTGTGCTACTTATCTCAGCTTTCACACAGCAGTGTGAATCTCTGGGAGACACATCCAAAAGGTCCACTTTTAAAGTAAAGAGTAGACCCTTTAACAAAGTATTTTTGCATTGGAGATGACGATTTAATTCTGGAATCTGAACTCTGCAAGGTAGAAAATACTTTTGGATATCTATCTCCCTTCAGTAGGGGTGAGTTGGCTGCAGGAGGAGGTTGTAAGCATAAGCAGGTGGAGAGTTGTTGACAGGCTGGCTAGGAAATGCCCCAACCCACAGCAGGACAGAAAAACTAGCAATAGCTGCAGCTTATCCCAACCAACCAATCCTGCCTCCTGCAAGTTCTCAACGCATCTAGTGTCTGATATTATAAAAAAGGGCCGGCAGAGAGGCTCAGCAGGTTAAGCAGCTGCCAGCATCCTATGTTAGAGCACTGGTTTGAATCCCAGCTGTCTGGCTTCAGACCCAGCTCCCTGCTAATGCACCTGGGAAAGCAGCAGAAGATGGCTCAAGTGTTTGGGCCCCTGCCACCCATGTGGGAGTTTCAGGAGCTCCTGGCTTCAGCCTGGTCCAGCCCTGGCCACTGCAGCCATTTGGGGAGTGAACTATTTGTTGGCTCTGCCTTTCAAATAAGTAACTCTATGAAAAAAAAAAAAAAAAAAAGGCGGGGTGGGGGTGTCCAGTGTTTCCCTGGACACATCTAATCTGTAAAATCAAAGAAACTTTCTTCAAGCAGCTGTGAGGAATTCTGCCTAAGGTATCAAAACTAAGTAGGATCCAATTCTAAGAAACAATCTGATCAGAAAACCACCTTAGTGTGTAAAACTTGGCTGTGTCAAAGGTTAATTCTGAAATACCTGACAAAAGCCTTTCCCTTATTCCCTCCAAGAAGCAAGCTCCACTGTGATGGGTATCTCACAACTGCAAATTTCCCAACTGAAACAAAGGGGCACCTACATCTCATCCAGCCCCCCTACCGCCAGCTAAACTGGAACTTCCAGTTGAGGTAGAAAGAAGAACAAATTGCAGAGTAAGGGGAAAAGAGGGTGATCAGTTTTAAATACGAATGGGAAGGGCATTGTCTAGACAGGATGGCTGGGGGAAGGGGAAAGGACTCAAGCCGCAAAAGGCATTTAATTCCCAACTTTTCCTGGCGTTCTGAGCGCCCTTCACAAGCGGTCCTCAGCTTTGGAAGTTTCACTACTCACCAAATCCTCTGAAGCTCGGGCTTGTGCTCTTCGGAAGAGATCCAAGTCATACTCGCTTGTCAGGTTTTCTAAGAGAGGTTCCCGAGTGTTCCCATAGGTCTGCCTGTGTTCCTAGGAAAATAATAACAGCGTGACACTCTCTGCTTAGAAAAACGTCATCGATCGATGCTAGCCACAACCGTAAGCTATTTTTAGTGCCTACGTGGTAGGTACTAAGGATCATGCACGAGACATGATTTATTGGGTTAAAGCCAGAAGACCCCCTACCCTTCCTGGCAAATCTGAGGACAGAATGCTCCTTCACCTCTTGCGTTCCTCTGCCTGGGATCTCAAAGATCAAAAAATCAAAGTACAACAGATGCAGAGCACGCTAGAAATTCTTAGAATCCTGAGATCTGGAAGAAATCTTCTGAGCTAACTTTCTGATTTAAAAACAGAACACAGATCAGATTCTCCAAGCCTCAGCTTTTTAAGATTTTAAATGAAAATGAAGTCTGCAGGGAGGATGGGCCGCTGAGCTAAGCAGCGCCTTGCAAATTCTCCTGTGGGAACTGCGGCATTTGCCAGGACACTGCCCCTGAAGGGGTAATACTCCCACTTTCAAACTCCACTCTAAGTGCACAGGGAAAACAGGCTGCATTCTTCAATAACAATAGTAATAACAGACTTACTAACCGTCTAGCAGTAAGAGGGACAAGTCATAGAAAATTAAATAGCTTTCAAATCTTACCATAGCAGTGTCTGCAAGGCTCCTCTCTCAGGAAGGAACTCCCTCAAGGGAAGCTTTGCTTTTAAATCTCTGGTTCTAGCCCTTCCCACTCGGTTCCCCAGACTCCACCTCCCACCCAGAGAAGGGGAGATAAAGGCAGAATAGATTCCACACATGCATTAGCATTTGAAGAAGCCATTCACCAGGACCTTTCTTCTGGATAACCCAAATCCTTTTGCCAACACATCTTTTTGAATTAGGACTTTCATCTAAGAGTCAGATTCTAAGCATTTTAATCACGAAGGTTGAGTTCAAATAACCTTTCCACAATTACTGAAAAAAGTTTACAGGATTAAACATTTCAGGAGGGATGGGCAGATCAGAGGGACGTTTAGCAACCAAATCAGGAGTCCTGGCTCTGTTTCCAATTCCAGCTTCCTGCTAATGCACCCCCTGAGAGGAGGACCTGGATGCCACCCACATAGCAGCCCTGATGGGAGTTCCTGCCTTCAGCTTGGCCCAGTACCTGCCATTGCAGGCATTTGGGGAATGAACCCACTGTGCTCTCACATTCTCTCTCTCTCTGCCTTTCAAATAAATAAAAATAAACATTAAAAAAAAAAAAGAATAAAAAAAAAAAACTCAGGAAATTTTACTTCAGATATTCTTTCTACCTGTCTGATCTTGGAAAAATTACCCAAGTCTCAAGTTTTTACATAAACCCAAGTTTTTATATAAAATAGGTGAAATACCACCCATTATATACAGTTACTATAAAACTTAGGCAGCATCATCATCACCCAATAAATAGTATCATTGTATTATTGCACTTCAACTTGCAGATAAAAATACTGAACAAGACAGGGCAAGTATACAACCTAGTACCCTACAGCCCATTTTTAGAGTTCTCCCTCTCCAAACCTAGGTATTTAGCTACAAATTCACTCCACAATCTACCATTCATATCACATTGGCCTGCATCCATTCATAAAGTCATCATTTCCAAGACAGTGATGACTGCCAAAAAAGTAAATACAGTTTGGCATATTTTGGTCTTAGTGAAGCCAAGCTCTGTTTATTCATAAACCACACATTTAATAATTTATCAATGACTAAAGAGGAAAGCATTCCAATTTTATATAAAAATAAGCATCAGAAAAAGACTGAAAAGACCATAAATCAAAATGCTGAAAAGTGGTTTGTATATTGGAGGACAATTTTTTATTAGAACTTTTATTCTCAATGGTTAACATCCCACTTGGGACACCTGCATTCCATAGCAGATGCCTGGGTTTGAATCACAGCTTCAGTTCTGATCCAGTTGCCTCCCAACTGGCACTGTGAGAGGCAGCAGGTAGTGGCTCAAATAGCTGAGCCTTGAGTCCCTGCCACTGATTTTAGTCTGCCCTGCCCTGGCTCTCACTGTTGCAGGCACTGAGAATGCACCAGCAGATGGAAGACCTCTGTGTGTGTCTGTCTCTCAGCCTTTCAAGGAAATAAATTCAGACCCTCTACTTTTAGTATTTTCAATAATAAGCATGGATTAATACATTTATAATAAAATAAATTCTTACCTAAACACACCAAATTTTAAGCAAGACATTTTCTTTAAGAATCTTTAATGAAACAAGGAAATTAGTTTACAATGTTTAAGTGAAAAGACAGAACCCAAACACTACATATAGTAAGAGCCTAATCGTGTAAAGTATATCTTATATGAAAGGCCAAGAAATATCCCAAATGTTAGCTGTGGTTATTTTTAATTAGTTGGATCAATGTTTTCTTCTGTATACTTTTTTTCTTTAAAGATTTTATTTATTTATTTGAAAGGCAAAGTTACAGAGAGGAAGAGGCAGAGAGAAAAAGAAAGAGAGAGAGGTCTTCCATCCGCTGGTTCACTCCCCAAATAGCCACAACGGTCTGAGCTGGGCCGATCCAGAGCCAGGAGCCAGGAGTTTTTTCTGGGTCTCCCATGTGGGTGCAGGGGCCCAAGGACTTGGGCCATCTTCTACTGCTTTCTCAGGCCACAGCAGAGAGCTGGATCGGAAGTGGAGCAGCCAGCATTCCAACCAAACCGGCACCCATATAGGATGCTGGCACAGCAGGTGCCGGCTTAACCCACTTCACCATAGTGCTGGCCCCTTCTGTACACTTTTAATTGTTCCATATCCTCTATTACAATTGTCTGTTATTTTTAAAGTTGGTTGTAACTATTTAAATTTACTTTAAATGTTAAAGTACTATTTAGTTTTAATCTAAATGTTAAAGTACTACCAAAAAACTATTACAGTACCCGTTATTTAATGCCTTTGATCTGGCAGGAAAATCATTTTTCCATGAAAATAAGTGGACTATAGCTAAGCTTGAATATTTTTAAGTTTAGAGACATTTTCAAAGTCATAGTGTTTGTTTTAGTGAGTAAATTTAATCCTTTAAAATTACAGCACAGTTTACAAGCAACTATGGATTGAGGTTTTAAAATTTTAAATTCTGGAGGTGGGCATTTGGTTTAGCGGTCAAGATTCCTGCATCTCATATTGGAATTTCTGGGTTCAATAGTTGCTGGCTCATGACTCCAGCTTCCTGCTAATGCAGACTCTGGTAGGCAGTGGTGAGTGTTCCAGTGAATGAATTTCTGCTACCCACGTGGGAGACTTGGATTGAGTACCCGGCTCCAAATTTTGGCCCTGGCTAAGGGACACTGTTAATATTTGGGAAGTGAGCCAGTGTACGGAAGCTCACGCACTCTCTTTCTCTGCCTATCAGTTTCTATCTCTCAAATAAGCAATTTTTAAAAATACACTAAGATAGGGGGCTGGCACGGTGGCACAGCATGTTAAGCTGCTGCCTACAGCGCCACCATCGCATCTGGGTGCAGGTTTGAGTGCCGGTTACTCCACTTCCGATCCAGCTCCCTGCTAATGCGCCTGGGAAAGCAGCAGAACATAGCCCAGGTGCTTGGGCCCCAGGTCCCACATGGGAGACCTGGAAGAAGAGCTCTTGGCTTCAGCCTGGCCCAACCCCAGCTGTTGCAGCCATTTGGGAAGTGAATCAGTGGATGGAAGACCTTTCTCCCCTCTGTCTCTCCCTCTCTAATTCTGCCTTTCAAATAAATAAAATTAATCTTGGGGCTGGTGCTGTGGCATAGTGAGCTAAGCCTCTGCCTGCAGCATGGGTGCCAGTTCTAGCACTGGCTGCTCCTCTTCTGATCCAGCTCTCTGCTATGGCCTGGGGAAGCAGTGGGAAATGGCCCAAGTGCTTGAACTCCTGCACCTGTGTGGAAGACCCAGAAGAAGCTCCTGGCTCCTGGTCTTGGATCAGCCCAGCTCCAGTGGTTGCGGCCATCTGGGGAGTGAATCAGCAGATGGAAGCTCTCTCGCTCTTCGCTCTTGCTCTCGCTTGCTCTCCCTCTCTCCCTCTCTTTGTCTGTAACTCTACCTCTCAAATAAATAAATAAAATCTTAAAAAAAAAAAAAAAACACTAAAAATGAGGTTTTTTTCTTCTGTATTTTTAAGGTTCTATTTACTTATCTATTTGAAAAGCAAAACAAAAGAAAGGAAAGTTCAGAGAGATAAGAAATCTCCCATCTCTTAGTTCACTCCCTAAATGTCCCTAACAGCCAGGGTTGGACCAGGCCAAAGCCAGGAGCCAAGAAACTCCATCCATGTAGTCCACTTGGGTAGCAGGAACCCAAGTATTAAAGCCACCATTTGCTGCTTCCTGGGTGCACTGACAAGAAGCTGGATCAGAAGCGGAGGCAGTTCGGATCAGTGCAGTGTGCCGGCCACAGCACGCTGGCCACGGCGGCCATTGGAAGGTGAACCAACGGCAAAAGGAAGAACTTTCTCTCTGTCTCTCTCTCTCACTGTCCACTCTGCCTGTCAAATTAATTAATTAATTAATTAATTAAAAAAAAAAGCGGAGGCAGGATTTGATCCCTGGACTCTCAATACGGGACGCGGATGTCTGGGCTGTGTCTTTTTTTTTTTTTTTTTTTTGACAGACAGAGTTAGACAGTGAGAGAGAGAGACAGAGAGAAAGGTCTTCCTCTGCCATTGGTTCACCCTCCAATGGCTGCCGCGGCCGGCACACTGCGCTGATCCAATGGCAGGAGCCAGGTACTTATCCTGGTCTCCCATGGGGTGCAGGGCCCAGGTACTTGGGCCATCCTCCACTGCACTCCCTGGCCACAGCAGAGAGCTGGCCTGGAAGAGGGGCAACCGGGACAGAATCCAGTACCCCGACCGGGACTAGAACCCGGGGTGCCGGCGCCGCAAGGCGGAGGATTAACCTAGTGAGCTGCGGCGCCGGCTGGGCTGTGTCTTAGCTCACCGTACCACAATGCCCATCCCTTCTAAATAAGTTAAAATCAACTAAAATTTAGTGAACTGTATTTCACTTTTCTAAGGCCTCCTGTTTCCAGTCTCACCAGCCCAGTTTTGGGGGATTACTGTAAGTTCCACACTTGCAGAGAAAAGTCACCTGGTGTTCACTTCCTGTTCCCTTGGAGTGAGAACACTGAACTACAAGTCTGAAAGGCAGAGGCTTAGAAAGCACAAGGAACCAGCTGTAAGAGCAGAGTTCCTGCTAACGAAACAATTAACTCCTCCTCACCATATACTTCTCTTTCTGTTCTTTGCTCAGGCCAGAGTTTCTTTTCTTCCTGAGTTCAGCCACCTTTTCCTTATATCGCAGCTGCCTCTCGGTGGGGGCCTAAAAGGAAAACAGTGAAAAGTGAGAAGCCAGCCAGATAACTCAAGATAAAGCTTCAAAATGAAAGACCAAGCATTAAAAAATAATAATAAATAAAGGTAGGGGGAAAAACACCAGAAATGTTACAACTACACTGAATAATACAGCAATTTAAAAATCTGAAAGTATTAGGCTCCTTCATCATCTAAATCACTATTCCTATTCCCAGTTACATATGGGTTCAGGAACGCAAACTTATTTTATCATGAATTAAGGAACAACATCTCCACCAAAGCAACAGGAATAAAACAAAGATAACTGCAATGCAATAAATATTTAAGAATGCTCACTGTTTTCCAAATCATGCTTACTGATCTGATTAAGAGTTATATTAAAATAAACAAAAGCAGACAAACTGGTTAAGAATAAAACCCTGAACAGACAATGAAGAAAAGGTAGCTGCCTCTTACTGAGGGCTTTTTACCTGCCAACCACTGGAGACAGAAGCTTTACCAACAGAAATCAGCTGACTCCCTTGCCAGGCAGGCCTCATTCACCTCTTTGTATTAACAAGGAAATAAAGCTGAGGGAAGTCAGCTGATCTGCCCAGGAAAACGAGCCAGGGTAACAGAATCATTCAAATTCACATCGTATGGATTCAAAGCTAAACTGCTTCCTCATCTACCCACCTATGACCTAACAGCAAGACCAGACACCTAGATGATGGTCTACGAACACCAGATGATGAAAGCTAGGACTGCGAACATTACAGTGGGAATGATGAGAAGGAAATTCACTAGTGGTGGAGAAGACCTGGAAGAGCCCCTACCACAGCTGAGGGCTGCACAAGGTCTTGAAGGATAAACGCAGGTATGGGGCACAGGCAGGAAACAGCAAGAGTAAGACCAAGGGCATTCAGAGAATAAGGAATTAAGGGCAATCAAAGCTACATGATTGTTCACAGAGGCGGAAGGAGGATTAGGACAGAGCAAGGACACTTCTCGGAAATCAAGGAAAGAAGAAAAATGACACAGTCAGCAAGTGTCAAGTGAACTTGGAAACGTGCTAGCAGAGGAGAGGTCTGAAGGCAAACTACAATGGGTTAAAAAAGGATGCAAAATGAGGAAATGAAGGAGCAAGAGTACACCTTCAGAGAACCAAAATCATCTTTACTGCTACTACTACTACCATTACAGATAGGACGACGATTCCTTCATTTATAAAGTAGAAGTTAAAAATTTACTATCTGCAAAGCAACATGATTCTGAGTTCATGACTATAAGACCAGTTATTGAGACTTGGAACAAGAGGCACAAGTGTGTCTAATGACAGTGACGGGGCAAAGGAGATCCCAGTCACGGCTCTCCCACTGTGAGTGGCCAGTGCTTTACAAGGCCCATACCTGGTGCCTGGTTGCATGCCTGTTGTTGTCATCTTGCCTGTGGGACAGCATCCTTTCTTCTATCTGCTTATCCCGGCTCTGTGCTCTCACCTGCAACCATCAACAACGTCAATAAATCCACCTGTTTCTAAGACTACGTTTACTTAAAGCATTAAGAATACAATAATAATCCCTTGAATTTGTGGTATGTTTTCACTTTCAAAGGGTCTTCAAACTTAACCACAATCCCTTTAAGAAAAGAATGCAAGCTTCATGTTTGGCTTTCTCAGCCATTAACTGAGAATTAGAGAAGTGACATGGTCACAGAAATTGGTGGTAAGTTAGGATTTTAGTTAAGTTTGATGATTCCAAGACTGGACCCCTTTCCACTGTGAAATAGCTAAGAAACTGCAGAAGTGCAAGAACAGAGTAAAGGATACCAAAAAACAAACAACAACAAAATCCAGGTTCAACTCTATATACAGAATTCTGTAGTTACTTGACACAAGACAGAGAAAACACTCTCAATAGTTTCCATTTCATCATCTATGGATTGAGGACTCATATTCAATTGCCTATTCAACCTCACAATAACTGTGCGTAGCCAAAACAGAAACAGTAGTATGCCCCACAAACATGCCCGACCCCAAATTTTCTTGGTATCTACGAATGGCAACACTATCTAAACAACTGATTAGGTATCTACAAATGGCGACGCTATGTAAACAACTGATTAAAAACTAGAATGTCATCCTTGATTCTCCTCTCTCACACTGAATCTACCCGCTGGTCTAGCAGCATGCTCCCCTCCAAATTACATCTTGAACCAAAGCTATACTAAGAATCTCCACTGACACCGTGAGTCCACACAACCATCCACTGTCGGAGCAACTTTCCAATCACTGTGCCCCACGGCAACCCTTGCCACCACGGTCCACTTTCCATATGCCAGCAAGCTGTGACTTTGTAAAAGTTCAAGAAATTATATTATGGTGGCCAACGCTGTAGCATAGTGAGCTAAGTCTCCACCTGCGGCGCCAGTGCCCATGCCGGTTCAAGTCCCAGCTGCTCCTCTTCCTGTCCAGCTCTCTGCTCATGGCCTGGGAAAGCAGTGGAAGATAGCCCAAGTGCTTGCACCCCAGCACCCACATGGAAGACCCAGAGGAAGCTCCAGGCTCCTGGCTTTGGATCAGCTCAGCTCAGCTTAGCTCTGGCTGTTGTGGCCATTTGGGGAGTGAACAGCGGATGAAAGATCTTTATCTCTCCCTCTTTGTCTGTAACTCCCTCTCAAATAGTAAAAAAATCTTTAAAAAAATTATATTATGCCTTTGTTCAAGCCCTCCAAACGCTTCCCACTGCTATGAGGATAAAAACATACTCTTTCTGCCAAGGCCTGCAAGGTCATTCCTGACCTGGATGGATCCTGCTTCTTCATTTCCCATCATGCTCCAGCCACACAAGCAGACTCTCAACCCCTCAAACCCAACAGTTTATCCCCACCTCACGGCCACTGTGCTCGCTCTTCTGCTTAGACTGTCTTCTCCCAGTTCCAAATACAACTGCCTCTTTGCCATTACCCATGCCCCGGATCAAATTCCAATTCCTTAGGAAGGTCTTCCTGGATCAACCTGGCAACATCAGTGCTCTCTCACTCCAAAAATAGCTACTCTTACTGCCTTTTTTTCTTCTTCTTTTAAAGATTTATTTGAAAGGCAGAGTTACAGATGGGGGGGGGGTGGGAGCTAGAGCTAGAGCTAGAGCTAGAGCTAGAGCTAGAGCTAGAGCTAGAGCTAGAGCTAGAGCTAGAGCTAGAGCTAGTGCTGGTTCACTCCCCAAATGGCCATAATGGCTGAGGCTGGGCCAAGCCAAAGCCAGGAACCAGGAGTTTCATCAAGGTCTCCCATGTGAGTGCAGGAGCCCAAGGACTTGGGCCATCCATCCTCCGGCACATTAGCAGAGAGCTGGATCAGAAGAGCAGCCGGGACTTGAACTGGTGCCTGTATGGGATGCTGGTGTTTCAGGCGGCGGCCTTATCTGCTACCCCACAGCTCCAGTCCTGAATGCAGTCTTTTATTCATTGAATCCTGATAGCTGTAAAATATTTGGCACATGCAGCCACAAAAACATATATGATTGAATAAAAATGGTAATATCACTGACCACAAAGGTTTACTGAGAAACTCAAGAACAATCCTGTATGTGCAGGCGCTTTTAAAACTCTGGAGCTTTTTATAAATGTGAGCCATTAGTCTAATCTTTCCATGTGGGATTCTAAACGCAACAGACTTCCTATTTCCAAAATTCTCCTGCTCCTCCACACATGTTTCAGTAGTAAAGATGGATTGCAATGAGCCCAGTTCCCCTTGTGAAGTAGAAGGAATTAAAGAGGCAAGATTTTCTCCAGGAATGTTTTCCTTTTATCAGAATTTTCTTGCTCAGACTGAAACTGCTTGGTGCAGGTGTTCGGTGCAGTGAGGACCCTGTCTGGGATGTCTGCAGCCATTTTGGAGTGCTTGGCGTCAGGTCCCAAGTCTGTTCTCAAACCAGCTTCCTGCGGACACATCTGGGAAGCAGTGGGTGATGGCTCACACACTTAGGCTCCCAGCTTTCGCCTGGCCCAACCCTGACCATTGCAGGCATTTGGCAGATTTCTGTCTATTTCTCTGCCTTTCAAATAAAATGAAGAGACATTTTTTAGGAAAAGTTCTACCTTACGAGATGTAAACCCAATTTCAGCTCATCATACTGGAAGACAGAGTAGAGGACAGCCCTGCAGGAACATCACAGTTATTTTCAGACCAAGAAGTTCCCAATGCCCGCCTCTGATGCAGAGTGGCAGAGCTGCTCCTATTTCGGTCTGGCCTCAGACTAATGAGAAGACAATGAGAAGCTCCACACAGAGCAGGAAGAAAACTGCTTTGTTTACAAAGAATTTGGAATGAAGAAAAATAGGAACAGGGTCCTCAGCCTTGTAGTCCACCTCAGTACCGGAAGCACTCCATTTTGCTGAAAGACCCAACACAGGAAGAAGTTTTACCCCTACTGTAGTCTACTTGCAAACAAGAGAACAAACCCCTGAATCAAGAATTAACACCCCGGGAATCTAATTTTCCTCAAAACAGCACTGGCACAGATAGGGATAAGTCTGAGATGCTGGCTTCATTAGCAAGGGAACAATAAACACCCCAAGGACTGCATGCAGTTTGGGTAACCTGTCTAGACACTCTGAACAGTCCATTTAGTTACCCTTTTCAACTCTTGCTTCCCTACAATTAGTTATTCACCTTCGCTAGCGGAAACCTATACAGGAATATAAAATATAGGATCTTGGCCTTTACTCCTAACAACTTTATCCCCAATTCCCAAAGGTTATTTAGGAACTGTAGTTTTCAAGATCTTAAATGAATTAGCCAAGCGTAAGTGTGATTAAGAGTAAGAAAAAGGAAAAAAGTATTCTGCAGAAATGGAGAAAAGAGGCAAAGAATTATGAAAAAAATTTAAAAAGCAAAATGATTTCATAGATTTATAAGAGAACCTACTGCATAAATACTGAGGTCACATGTGTCCCTATTAATCTTTGAAGTCAATTCTCAATGGAAAATGTATCAATGTACTGGTGGTTGATGTTCCAAGTACTCTATAATCTCCTTGTTAATTTCTTTCAAAGCATTCCTGATGTAAGTTTTCTACTTGTCTGTTCAACTATCTTTCTAAAAGACAGTTGTTCCTTATGTTTCCTGGGTTAGATACAACAACAAAGAACTTTCCCACCTTGCTCATCACTGTAATCCCCAGTGTTTAGCAAAGTGCCCAGCGAGCAAGCACTCGACAAGCGTATGCGGAATGAGTGAGAACACAAGTACCTTGCATTCGTCAGCTGAGAGGTTGTGATAGAGTGGGCACCCTGAGATGGAGAAATGTCTCTCATGTTTTCCTGTAAGGTGTCCTGTAAAAAAGAGGGAAAACTTCAATCTCAAGGAAGAAGACTTAAGCTTCAAAGTGTTTTTTTCTCTACAACAAACCTGTTTTACTATTTCATTTCAGTAATGGGTAGAAGTTATTTTCAAAATGAGATATTTATCTGAAAAGAAACATTTTTCTTAAAATTTTATTTATTTGAAAAGCAGTTAGAGAGAGAAAGAAGAAGTTAGAGAAAGAGGTCCTCCATCCACTATTTCACTCCCTAAATGGTCACAATGGCTGCGACTGAGCCAGGCCAAAGCCACAAGTTTCTTCCAGGGCTCCCACATGGGTGCAGGGGCCCAACCACTTGAGCCATCCTCTGCTGCTTTCTCAAGCACATTGGTAGGGAGCTGGATTGGAAATGAAACAGCAGGACTCGAACCAGTGCCCACATGAGGTGCCAATGCTACACACAGTGGCTTAACCCACTGTGCCAACACCAACCCAAAATATTTTTATCTTACTTACGATTTTTTTTAAAGCCAGCAAAACCAGGCTAGGCCCAACTTAATTTTTTTTTTAAGATTTATTTATTTGGGGGCAGGCGCTGTGGCTCAGTGGGTTAACGCCCTGGCCTAAAGCGCCAGCATCCCATATGGGCGCTGGTTCAAGACCCAGATGCTCCACTTCCTGTCCAGCTCTCTGCTATGGCCTGGGAAGGCAGTAGATGATGGCCCAAGTCCTTGGGCCCCCGCACCCATGTGGGAGACCCGGAAGAAGCTCCTGGCTCCTGGCTTCGGATCAGCACAGCTCCAGCCGCTGTGGCCAACTGGGGAGTGAACCAACGGATGGAAGACCTCTCTCTCTCTCTCTACCTCTCCTCTCTCTATGTAACTTTGACTTTCAAATAAATAAATAAATCTTAAAAAAAAAAAAAAAAAGATTTATTTATTTGCTGGTGCCGCAGCTCACTTGGCTAATCCTCCACCTGTGGCGCTGGCACCCCAGGTTCTAGTCCCGGTCAGGGCGCAAGATTCTGTCCCGGTTGCTCCTCTTCCAGTCCAGCTCTCTGCTGTGGCCCAGGAGGGCAGTGGAGGATGGCCCAAGTGCTTGGGCCCTGCACCCACATGGGAGACCAGAAGGAAGCACCTGGCTCCTGGCTTCGGATCGGCGCAGCGCGTCAGCCGTAGTAGCCATTTCGGGGGTGAACCAAAGGAAGCAAGACCTTTCCCTCTGTCTTTCTCTCTCTCTCTCTCTCACTGTCTAACTCTGCCTGTCAAAACAGCAAGAGATAAACAGATCGGATTTATTTATTTAAAGTCAGAGCTACTGAGAGAAGGAGAGGCAGAGAGAGAGAGAGAGAGAGAGAGAGAGAGAGATCGATCGATCTTCCATTCACTGGTTCACTCCCCAATCGGCTGCAACAGCAGGAGCTGCGCAGATCTGAAGCCAGGAGCTTCTTCCAGGTCTCCTACGTGGGTGCAGGGGCCCAAGGACTTGGGCCATCTTATACTGCTTTTCCAGGCCATAGCAAAAGAGCTGGATTGAAAATGAAGCAGCTGGCACTTGAACCAGCGCCCATGTGGGATGCCGGCACTGCAGGTGGCATCTTTACCCACTACGCCACAGAGTTAACCCCTTATTTATATTTAACAATTACATAAAGCCCCAAGATCTAAAACTACTAACCTCACAAAAAGCCAAGGTCTCGTGTGTCGTCTCTTAGTTTCACAGCTTCTTGACAACAAATCTGTTTTTCTCCTTTCCTTAACAGCATGGCCATGCAGGCACTACTCTGTGCCAGTTTACCCGCCACTAGAGCGCATTAAGTATGAAGCAGGTGCCATAAAATGAGCTAGTTGGAGATAATTAGTCTTTTGTTTTTTTACTTTGAAAAATGAAATTTTTCACTGGGAAAATTTTTCAATAAACTGAATGGTTCAACATAATTTCCTCAAAACTAGATCTATCATTATGGACAATAGGCCAAAAAGCAGAAATCCTTTTATTCAAGTGGACAATTCATTTTTGCTCTGACCATGTGACCAATGAAGAGCCCAAGAAGCATAACACCAAATGTTTCTGGGAGATCCAACTCCAGGGGGACTGAGACCCGCCGAGCAGAGGGGTCAGGAAGCTGGCACACTGACCTAGTGAGTTGCAGCCTGGTGTAGGACACTTCATATTGAAGTTGTAGCTTTCGTGGAAGCGACGGCGCTTGGGGCGGTGAGAGAGGTCGCTGCCGGAGTCCTTCAGGGACATGTCCTTGGCAATGCTCTCATCGTGGGACACGTTGGGGCTGGAGATGTCTATGTCAGACTCCGAGGAAGGTGCATTTCCAGTCGGGGTTCGAGGTGGTGACTCATCATGATCAGCTGCATTTTTGGTTTCTAAAACAAAAGTAATTGCTAGAACCTGTGAATAGGGCTCATTTATAAAGAGGTTTACTATTAAGAAAAGTTTATAGACTTACCAGGTCTTTTTTCTATGGTTTAACGAGTAAATTTTAGCTACTTATCTGCTATAAGGCTATATGGAAAATGAAGACACTAACACCATTCCTTTTGTGTAACTTTAAATTATGAATAAAATTAATTTGGGGTTTACTTAATAGATTTCACTTATCTGTGTTTCTCCCAGGCTCCTGATCATGGGTAATAAAAACTGAATGGAATAAAATTTTAAAACATGATCATCCAGGAGATACACAGGAGACAACCATGACAATGGCTATCTTTCTGTCTGAATGACACTGAACAGGCCTGCCGAGAGTGTGTGAATGGACTCAGACTCCTGAGTTAGCTTCCTGGGAGTCTAACAATCCAACCCTGAAATTCCAGGCTCCAAATCAGGAATTGTGAACCAAATGCACAAGGGGACTGGGCAAGGCCAAACAGATTATCCACTGAAAGGGAGAACAACCATCCAACTCCAGCCAATTACACATGGCTCCCCATGCTCCCAGATTTTAATTAAAAAACAAAACAAAACTACTAGCCCAGGCTTCTACAGGAAATCTCTATATTTTCAAATCGTGGTGACAAACTAAAAAAAATCTTAAACACTGTGGAAGCAAGCCAACGAACCATGTCTGCAAGCTACAAGCAACTCACCAGCTTCTAAATCCCTGCTCTGGGCCCTCTAATTTGGGCTACGAACTACATAATCTCAACAGCTTTATAATCCCCGTACTAACAGCCACTCTCACTCAGAAACTTGGACGCATGGGATGAAAAGCCTGCCGTAAGAAAATCTGGTTCAAGCCTTCTTTATGTGTGGGTGAGAGGGCCCCAGTCCCTTTTTCCTAGTACAAATCCAATCTAACACTCTCCAGCAACTGTGAACCTCAAGAATACTCTAGTATCAAACTGTCCTCAGGAACACAAGAAAAAGGAACCTAACAGTACTCACTCGGCTGACTTTTGTGTTATCACTCAAGCTCTCCTTCACAGAGAATTAACCCAGGCACACCCTGCCCGCTCACCTCTATCTGAAAAATCAACCGCTTGTTCGGTTTCTGAGCCGGAGGAGCGCGTCTGGCGCAGGGGGTACTTTTTTGGAGTCACAGGGGTGGGCTGCTGCTGACTTCGCGTCACTCTTCGGGTGGAGTAAGCGGGCTCCTCCGTGCCAAAAGACTGCAAATTTCGAACAGGGCTGGAATCTAATCCCAATTTTAAGTGACAATAAAATAAAGAAAATCTGTTTTAGTTACCACCTATATAATTTATCAGAATGCAGCTCCTCCTCCTCCTATTCATACCTCACAAAATCTACAAATCCTTCAAATAGCTATTTTATCAAATAATAAATAAGCAAAGGAGCCTAGCTCTGGTGTAGATATGCGACACAGCATAGCATTAACAGTTTAGGTTCTGAAATCAAGACTGAATTTTATTCAGTTTCACTCCACCACATGAACTAAGTATGGCAAGTTAATTTCTCAAAATCTGTTTCCTGATCTATAAACCAAAAAAGGGAAAATCTTAGTGGCACATTCCTCATAATTTGTGGTGAAGAACAGTAAGTAAGATAACATATATAAAGCACTTACCATGATCTCTGGAACACAGATTATAAATATTAGCTACATCTTCTCTTTCTTCCCTCACTCTAATCCACCATAAGACAGATATTCTACTACTAAAAGTATAACAATATCCTTTTTTAGGGTCTTTTTTTTTTTCTGATTACCCTCTCTACTATCCTTATGCAAAACCATAATAGATTCATGAAGGTAACACAAGAAAACAACTTTTTAAGTTCTTCTGGATCGCGAAACCTATTTTGAAGCAACTCTTTTGTATCTTTAGCCTGATGACACTTAAAGGAACTAAAACAAATTCAAAGGCAAAATTTAATAGTTTAAAATTTTACTGATTGATTGATTTGAAAGGCAGAGTGTCAGAGAGAGAGGGAGAGACAGAGAAGAGATAATTTCTACCTGTGGTGCACTCCCCAAATGGCCACAACAACCAGTACCGGGTCAGGCCAAGGCCGGAGCCAGGACCTCCCAAATGGGTAGTAGGGGCCCAAATACTTGGACCATCTTCTGCTGCCATCCAAGCTGCATTATCAGGAAGCTGGACTGGAAGCAGAGCAGCTGGGACTTGCGCCAGTACTCCGATATGGGATGCTCGCACTGCAAGCAGCAGCTGAGCCACGATGCTGACCCCTCACCATATTTCAAACAACAAAAACCCAAAACAGGGGTGAGTTTTATACCACTTAGAGAGCTGGTTCAAGTCCTGGCTCCTCCACTTCCGACCTAGTTTCCTAACGCTCCTGCAAGGCAGATGATAACTTTGTAAGTATTTGGGTTCCTGCCACGCACGTTAGAGACCCAGATGGAGTTCCTAGCTCCTGGCTTCAGTCTAGCCCAGCACCAGCTGTTGCAGGAATGTGGGGAATGAACCAGCGGATGGGAGATCTCTATCTGTTTTTCCTCTCTCTCTGTCAATCTTCCTTTCAAATAACTAAATGTTTAAAAAAAACTCCTAAGATAATGTCAATCTTACAGATTCGCCAAAGGGAAAAAAACTGGAATTCGTAAGCTTTCCTCACCAGGGACTCCTTGGAGTGGAGCCGGAGGGGTTAAGAGCACCCTCCAAATCTAAGCACAGGTGGCTAAATGCACCAAAGGACCTTCCAACCACGTTTTGTCTCTGAGATTCTCAATTCTACACTCTTGGTATTTACACAATGGTATTTGGCTCTATTTATATCTATCAAGAGTGCCTTCAACTACATTCCAGAATTAAACATGGTTTTAGAAGTAGTGGTTCTCCTCCAAAAAATAGTAAGTTCAAGTGATTATGTTAGGTCCCTAAGCTTAAAATCTTTTAACAGAAAGTGAAAGGTAACATTCTCACTTTACTGATGGGAATACCAGTCTGAAAAAGAAATCAGGGACCAGTACTGTGGCCCAGCAGGTTAAGCTGCCACCTGTGATGCCCACATCCCAAGTGAGCGCTGGTTTAAGTCCCAGCTGCTCTACTTCCAATCCAGGTCCCTGCTGATGCTAATGGTGTGGGAAAGCAGCAGCAGATGGGCCAAGTATGTGGCCCCTGGCACCCACGTGGGAGACCTAATGGAGTTATGGGCTCTGGGCTTCCAGCCATTCGGGGAGTGAACCAGCAGTTGGAAGCTCTCTCCCTTTCAAATACATTATTAAAATAGAAAAAAAGGGAAAAAAAAAACAAAAAAAAAAAAACAAAAACCTGAGGGGCTGGCGCTCAGTGTCGCAGGTAAAGCTGCTGCCTATAGTGCCGGCATTCTATCTGGGTGCCGGTTTGAGTCCTGGCTGCCCCACATCCGATCCAGCTCTCTGCTATGGCCTGGGAAAGCAGCAGAAAATGGCTCAAGTCCTTGGGCCCCTGCACCCATGTGGGAGACCTGGAGGAAGCTCCCGGCTCCTGGCTTTGGATTGGTGCAGTTCCGGCCGTTGTGGCCAGTTGGGAAGTAAACCAGCAGATGGAAGACCTCTCTCTCTCTCTACCTCTCCTTCTCCTTTTGTGTAACTCTGACTTTCAAATAAAAAAATAAATCTTTAAGAAGAAATCAAACGTCACATGCATGACACACAGTAGCCATTATTTCTTTGCCTCTATAAACTGGACAGTACCAACAGAGCGGCTACTTCTGCATTTGTCAATGAACCATTGTCACGTTAACCAGCACAGTAATATGCCAAGTAAGCAGGAGGAGCGGTCACGAGAATGAAGCTTTTACCTTGAGAACTCTGGCTCAGCCTGGCTGAGGAGCGGGTGACGCGTGCAGATCGTCGGGATGTGCCATCACTCTCTGAACTATCTGTGTGCTCAAGATCTGTAGAAAAATCGGAATCTTCGGTTCCATCTGAACTACTGCCTGCATTCCTCTGTAACACCATAGATCCAGACATTAGCACTGCCGCATTTACTCTGTGGGTTTGTATTAACACTGGAAATAAAATGCACCGTGACGCTGGAAACACCAAGTTCAAACCTGAGAAAGGATTCTAAGAGCATTTCCCCTTCCGGCACACAGCCTTCCTTATCTTGTTTAGCATATTTAAATGGAGCAACCTACAAATAGGGCATTTTTGTTAAATAAAGAATTCTTACTGTATTATCACTAATTCTGAACCAAATCCATTTAGACATCAGTACCACAAACTGGACGGAAAAGGCCCCAACGCAACATGGTCTGGTTGACATAGCCACACATTAGGTCCAAGTCAGTGTGAAAAGTGTTGATGCTAGGCCTCATTTCACTGTAGGGCAGCTTTGTTCAAAGTCTCCATGGACAGCTATCATATTTTTTAGAAAACACACTATTTCAAAATATTATAGCCCACAATTCTAATCCCAAGACAATTTAAAAAGACAAAGATAAAAATCCTTCCTTTTCATGCCATCTATCCTTGAAGCTCTCCACACAATGCAACAGTGCTGAAAACAGCAGCTTGCTCTTGTGTGCATGAAGTAATATTTATCTCCCTGAAGTATTCCAAAACAGGATTTTCGGGGGCAGTGCTGTGGTACAGCAGGTTAAAGCCCCAGCCTGCAGCGCCAGCAGGGACGCTGGTTTGAGTCCTGGCTGCTCCACTTCTGATCCAGCTCCCTGCCAATGTGCCTAGGAAAGTAGTGGAGGATGGCTCAAGTCCTTGGGCCCCTGCACCCACATGGGAGACCCAGAAGAAGCTCCTGGCTCCATTTGGGGAGTGAAGCAGCAGATGGAAGAACCTCTCCTTCTCTCTCTCTAACTCTTTCAAATAAATAAAATATATATTTTTAAAAAAAGCATGATTTTAAAAATCATCTTTTCGGGACAGGCATTGCGGCATAACATGTAAAGCCATCACCTGCCATGCCGGCATCCCATATGGGTGCCAGTTCAAGTCCTGGCTGCTCCACTTCCAATCCAGCTCTCTCTTCTAATGGCCTGGGAAAGCACTGAAGGATTGCCCAACTGCTTGGCCCCTGCACTCACATGGGAGACCTAGAAGAAGTCTCTGTCTCCTGGCCCAGCCCAGCTGTGGCAGCCGTTTGGGGAGTGAACCAGAGGATGGAAGATATCTCTTTTTCTCTCTTTCTCTCTCTACATCTCTGTCTTTGAAATAATACATACATCTGTGGTGTAACAGGTAAGCTGCTGCCTGCAGTGCCGGCATCCCATATGGGCACTGGTTCGAGACCCAGCTGCTCCACTTCTGATCTGGCTCTCTGAGGAGGCTCCTGCCTCCTGGCTTCAGACTGGCCCAGCTCCAGCCATTACCACCGTTTGTGAAGTGAGCCAGTGGATGGAGGACCTCTCTTTCTGCCTCTGTCTCTCTCTAACTCTGCCTTTCAAATAAATGAATAAGTGTTTAAAAAAAGAAAGAATATTTGCTAAAAGCAATAAAAAATTTCAAACTACAAGTCCCGATTCTTTATTCAAAACCCTCAAGGCCAGCGGCTGTTGGAATTCATAATTTTTAAGATTTTAGGGAGCAGGCATTTGACCTAGAGGTTCAGCCTCTGGTTGGGATACAGGCATCCCTTACCACCGTGCCTCGTTCCAACTTCCTGCTAAGGCCCACTCTGAGAGGCAGCAGCTGATGGCTTAAGCAGTTGGGAGACCCGGATTGAGTTCCTCACTCCTTGCTTTAAGCCAGGAACAACCCTGGTTGTTTTGGGCATTCAAGGTGTGAACCAGCAGATGGGAGCTGTTTTTATCTTTCTTTCTCTGCCTCTCAAATAAGTTAATTTTTTTAAAGGAGAAATGTTTAAGATTTTATGAAAAGGAATACTTTGCATATAGCTTACAAATAACACCCCTAATCAAACACATTCATATTTCTACAGCAAAATACACAGTCACACTAAATGAGACACGAAAAGACCATGGGAAGCCTGACATTTTAGGATAGGTTTGCTGCCAAACAAGTTATTGAAAAGCCTCTTGGAGAACACACTGTATTTGGGGATTGCAGAAGGGGCCTGGGGATCTACTGCAAGGCACCACTACCACTCCTGCATTTGGTCAGCCTTAACATGAGCACCACCTGCCAACCTAGGTGACTTTAGGGGACATTAAAAAAGCATTTAAAGCAGAAGGCCTCTGGGGGTTAAAGACTTCAGCAGATTGAGCACGAATACCACCTAGTTTTCCAAAGATTTCAGGGTCACCTGTGGAGAAATGAGATGAATCAAAGTCCTGTAAGAATCAGAGGAAAGCGCCAAGATGAAGGGGAAACCCGAAGGCTCATCTCAGCCCAGTTACCCAGGGTCGGGAACCCCTGACCTCTGACCGCTCCTTCCTCGCCCAGCCCTGAGCTCAGCTCCTCTTTCTGGCTTTACAATCGGCTTCCCTTCTTCCCCAGAGCACATTTAATTGCTCCTTCACTTCCCTCCACGGCACTCTGTACCTTGAAGCAGAAAATGTACTACCTCCTTCAGTTCTTTACATACACGCTTTCCCCATCACACAGTAACACTGCTAAGTCAGAGATCACGCCTAATTGAGCCTGGAATCCCCAGCGATCAGCAGGTAGCAGGCAGGCGATGAACATTTGTTGAACTGAATCGTGTTTCTGTAGTTACGGCTCGGCCACCGCCCATTTCGAGGGGCTTGGGACACTCCCTTGAGACTTCCATGTGTTCCCTTGTAAAAAGAAGGGAAGGGGGAAGAGGGTGTTCCTAGGTGACCTCACAGTTCTAGAAAATTTTTGACTTTCGAACAGGATTTTCCAGCCACTACAGAACTGCAGATTGTGGCTAGAACGCAACAGGCCTGGGCGGGATCCCCTGGAGGGTGGGCGCTGTTTCTCCACCACCCAGTTCTCTGCTTTGTTGTGCCCCCACCTGGAAAGGAAAGAGATCTCCAAAACCCCGCCTCCACACCTATCAACATCCTCAACCGGAAGGGCGGGGATTCACGCCGCCCAATCGACGCCCTGCTAAGCCGCGCCCCCGCGGGACAGACTGCCAAGCCCAACCAATTAGGAGAAGAGGGATCGGTCGCTACAGCCAATTGGAGATTGCTAAGGCCGGGTCCAGACACCACCCCCGCATGCGGGGAGGTGACCGTTGGGCCCAAACAGGCGGTGTAACCAGCCAATCAATACGCTTCAAGACGTTCCAGTGACCAATTAACAATAAGAACGCCTTCGACCCAGGCAAGCAGAGGGCGGGAATAGTTGCAAGCATAGGCCGAGGCCAGGCTTGGGCCCACATTTTTCTGTTGGGTATGCACAGAGAGAGGATAGCTGAGTTAGGTTCGGGAGAACGGGAAGTTGGAACCTAGGCGCTGTGAGGCGTGGCCTACTGCGTCACGCTGCTCCCTCTACTGTCCTTAGAAACCCGCCATCTCTCCTCTCCCGTTTCTCACCTTCCTTCGCGGCATAGCCGGCGGCTGCGGCCCGACGGTTCCGATTCGGGCAGCGGCGGCAGCAGCAGGAACGGTGGCTCCGGCGGGCTCCGTGGCGGCCTCTGTAACAGTCCCAATCCTGCGGACGATCCCAAGTGCCTCCTGCCTTACAGCGTCTGGAGCCTTCTGCGCAGGCGCCGCGGGCTGAAGCGCTTTTTCCTTCACTTCCGGCTGGGGCTCACGTCATTTGACGTTACGGGCCAGAGAGGGTGCTGGGAGGGTCGCTCCTTTCGGTGAGGCTAGCAGGCGCCATTTTGGAGTTGGGCAGGAAGAGGCACCGAGAGTGGAAACCGGGGCCAGCCATTTTTAGTTAGGTGAGTGACGCCCTTTGTGGGCGTGGGTAGCCATTCTTGTTTGGGGCAGAAGCCTGACAATTGAAGTTAACGGTTCTCATCTTTACCTTGGGCAAAATTTCCCTACCCGGTCGTTTTAATTTCTGGATTCGAGGAAAGAAACCCCAGAATTCATCAGGTTGCTGAGATTTAACCCTTTCGTTGCTCATTTGCCTAAAGGACGTTTCCGTTTATCATTTAAAACTCTAAAGTTGGGAAGGGCTGTTTTGAACAAGGAACTTTGTGTTTTAAGAGCCGTTCTGTGTCTCAAAGAGGGTGGGAATAAGGGGCAGGAAAAAAGGAATACAGGGCGTCCGTCATCAGGAAGTTTCCTGTCTGGTAGAGGAGACTTTGTCCTTGCCCTTAGCGAACGGCAAGTAAGTTAGTCGTGGGAGACGGCAAAACCATTCTTGTGGAACTGTGATTCTAAAGAATTCCATTTAGCTGTGTGTGGAGCGCCCACCTCCTTCCCCCACTGTGCTCGGGTTTGCGAGCCCTGGGGGGGGGGGGGGCAGAGGTGAAAAATACGCCTTGGTGTCGGGGTGCTGTGCCAAAGTCGGAGAGACTCCTTGAACCCCACTGAGCCCAAATGACCTCTGGTCATTTAAAATAAAAAAGATTTACTTATTTATTTGAGAGGCAGAGTTACAGAGAGGCAGAGAGAGATCTTCCGTCCGCTGGTTCACTCCCAGATGGCAGGAGCTGTGTGGATCCAGAGCAAAGAGCCTCTTCGGGTCTCCCACGCGGGTGCAGGGGCCCAAGGACTTGGACCATCTTCTGCTTTCCCAGGACGGAGCAGAGAGCTGGATCAGACGTGGAGTATCCAGGACACGAATCAGCGCCCATATGGGATGTCAGTGCTGCAGACCACAGCCCTTGCCCCACCTCTGGTCATTTAGCATGAGCCAAAGTTGGGGGAGGGGAGAAAGGGTGGGAATATTTTTGTGTGTGAAGCTGAAGCCCAGAAAAGAATGGATATTTAAATAATAATGGGAGAGTCTAGGAAGAAGTTGGTCCAGGATATTAGGCTGGAAGAAGAGCCCTAAGAAAAGGCTGGTAAAGTGGAGACCTCCCTGGAGGAAGTCTTGAGAAGACCAAGGCTTGACCAAGAGCAACTGGGAGAAATCCAGACAGCCTCAGTCCCTAAGTTAGGATCCTGGACCCCAATATCCACGTGAGGCCAGCTAAGATGGAGATCCACCCCCTGAAGCAGGCAAAGGAATAAAGCAGCAGAAGACAAACACCTGACTGATGTGTTAAACAGAGCACTCTGCAGGTTCCAGACCCTGACCAGCGCTCTCCCCGGCCAGTGCTGACACGGGCAGCTTTTAGTATTTATGATTTATTTTTAGTGCTTAGTAGAAATATCTTTGAATATAATCTACTTGGATTGAGCTGCACACATAAGAACTTACTTGAAATTGGTTCGTGTTTCCTCCTTTGTGCCCTCTCAGCATTTAATTTCACACCACTGCTCCGTTATTTTGCGTTTACTGGTTTGTTCCTAAGGCCACTTGTGGGTGTTCTGGCTTGCAGAGGTGGCAAGGACCTCTTCTATGAAGAGCCTGTCTCAGTGCTTTTGTATCCTTCCTCACAGCGCCCAGCCCGTGTTCCAGTGATGTAAAATGCCTGCTGGGCAGTCAGAATATCATTCTGTTTCACAGTCCGAATGGATGGTACTCAGAGATGAAGAATCCTTCCTAGAAGTCAGTATTTTAGAAGAGCCTCTTGTCTTGATTTGACCACTTATCATACACATATCAGAGTACAGCTCTTCTGTGTTAGCTGGTTCACCTCTTGCACTGGACTCCATAGATTGTTTTAACACTTCAGATAGCACGAAAGAGTTCACCATTTTTGGGGCGGCACTGTGGCATAGTAGGCTAAGCCTCCACCTTCAGCGCCGCCATTCCAAATGGGTGCCTGTTCGTGTCCCAGCTGCTCCTCTTCTAATCTGGCTCCTTGCTGAGGCCCCTGGGAAAGCAGTAGAGGATGGCCCAAGTCCTTGGGCCCTTGCACCCATGTGGAAGACCTCTCTCTGTCTGTACCTTGGGCCCTTGCACCCATGTGGAAGACCTCTCTCTGTCTGTAACTCTGACTCTCAACAAAAATTTTTTTTAAAAGTTCACCATTAAAAAAAAAGAGGGGGTGGTATTTAAATGGTAGAGCAACTGAAAGAGAGAGATTTTCCATCTTCTGCCACTCCTCAAATGGTTGCAAAAACAGATTACAGCCTCTAGCCCAGGTAGAAGCCAGGAGACTGGAACTCCTTCCTAGTCTGCCACTTGGGTGTCAGGGGCCCAAGTACCTGGGTCATCATCCACTGCCTTCCCAGACATGTTATCAGGGAGCTGGACCTGAAACAGAGCAGCTGACTCTCTGGCTGGCATTCCCATATGGGATGCCCACATAGGTGGCCGCTTAACCCACTGCTCCACAACACCAGCCCCAAGAACTCACTTTCTTTTTTAAAAATTTTTTTAAATTTATTTATTAATTTGCAAGTCAGAGTTACACAGAGAGAGGAGAGGCAGAGAGAGAGAGAGAGGCCTTCCATCCACTGGTTCACTCCCCAGTTGGCTGCAGCGGCCAGAGCTGGGCTGATCCAAAGCCAGGAGCCAGGAGCTTCTTCTGGGTCTCCCACATGGGTGCGGGGGCCCAAGGACTTGGGCCATCTTCTACTGCTTTCCCAGGCCACAGCAGAGAGCTGGATGGAAGTGGAGCAGCTGGGTCTCGAACTGGCACCCATATAGGATGCCGGCACTTCAGGCCAGGGCATTAACCCACTGTACTACAGCTCCGGCCCGAAATTCACTATTTCATTTAGTTGTAGTTTTTGTCCTTGGAAAGCGTATACTCTGGTGGAAAGGTGAAATCACTAACACCGACAGGATAGAAATAAGGGCTGGTGTGGCACAGTGGGTTGAGCTGCTGCCTGCAACACTGGCATCCGACACGAGCACCATTTCGAGTCCTGGCTGCTTCACTGTCCATCTAGCTCCCTGCTAGTGTGCCTAGGAAGACCCAAATGGAGTTCTGGCCTCCTGCTTTGGCCTGGACCAGCCCTGGTCATTGTGGCCATTTAGGGAATGAACCAGTAGATGGATGATTTCTCTGTCTTTCCCTCTCTTTTTGTAACTCTGCCTTTCAAAACACATAAATAAATCTTTAAAAATAAGGAAAATGAAAGAAAGAAATGTGATCATAAGGGGGAAAATGTGGACTTGAGATGAGCGTATACCAGCAAGGTACATTTAGGAAGGGAAAGGGGAGGTTCTTAAACCCCCTTTTTTAACCAAATAAAATCAGGGTCATTTTTTTTTTTTTTGCATCGACTGTTGGATTTATACTTTCCTTAGGCAAATTGATAGATATTCTGTTCCCTATTCCCCTTCTATGACATATAATAGGAACATAAATCCTATTTTTTTTTATTTGAAAGAGTGAGAGAAAGATCTTCCATCCATTGGTTCACTCCCCCAATAACTGTAACAGGCAGGTCTGGGCCATGCTGAAGCCAGGAATCAGGAACTCCATCCTGGTCTCTCACATAGGTGGCAGAGGCCCAAGTACATGGACACATTAGTAGGAAGACAGTAGAAAGCTGGATCAGAAGTAGGGTAGGCAGAACTTGAACCTCTGCTCTGATAGGGGATGCTGACATCACAACTGTTGGCCTAACCCGCTGTACCACAATAGCTGCCCCAAATCCTATTTATTCCTCAAGTCTGCTGATGTCTAGTACAGGGTTTTGATGCCAGATCTGGATTTGAATCTCAGCTCTGCCACTTGTTATCTGCATTGCTCTTGGACAAATTTTTAAATTTATCTGTGCCTAGGTTTTCTCATCTGTGCAGTGGAGATACTGCTGGCCGTTGTGCAAGGTTGTTGTAAGGACTGAAGGAAGTGAGTGTTCCATAGCACGTAGCGCAGTTCCTGACAGAGTAAGTCCTCGGGGAGCTGCTTACCTCTCCAGTCACCCTCGTCATGGCTCTAACATCCTAAGGTTTGTAACTCTATCTTTACATGGCCTCAGGGGTTGTTTGTTTTTGTTTGTTCAACCTTCCTTCAGCTCCAGAAAGACTGAGAGGTTACCCAGCATTACATAGCAGCCATTAAGTCATGCCAAATGAGGAAAACAGGCGGGTAAGCTCATAGTTCCAAAACCCTAGAGGGTATTACATGGAGAAAATAAAGGGATGAGTGGGGCCGGGGCTGTGGCATAGTGGATACCTGCAGCGCTGGTATCCCAGATGGGCTCTTGTTCGAGTCCTGGCTGCCCCACTTCCAGTCCAACTCCCAGCTAATTTTCCTGGGAGAGCAGCGGAGGATGGCCCAAGTGCTTGGGCCCCTGCAGGATGAAGCTCCTGGGTCCTGGCTTCAATCTGGTCCAGCCCTGGCCATTGCTGTCAATTGGAGAGTGAACCAGCAGATGGGAGACTTTCTCTCTGCCTCTGCCTCTCCCTTTCTGTAACTCCGCCTTTCAAATAAATAAATATTTTATAAATAATAATAAAGGGATGAGCAAGTGGTACAGAAGAAGAGATGGATTCATGGAAGAAGTGCAACACCATTGGAACTTCATA